AATGTTCCATCCTCACATTTATACTCGACAGATGTAATGCAATGTAATGAGTGACCTATCAGTCTGAGTGTCAGAAACCTCTGAATTATATCGACATATTTCAGGTACTAATTGCAGAGCACGAGAATATCGGAAAAAATGTAGTCTAGCATGTTTACGTTTGATCTGCAATGCTGGCCATGTTCCAACACAACTTATGATGAGAGAAGCCAAACAGTTTTTATGTCAGATCCGTCGTTAAAAAAAATTGTAAATACTAAATACACATCGAAGGAAGATGAGGTGATCCTTCTGTCTGGCCTTATTCTGCTTCGTACATAATTAAAGTTTATGCCGGTCAAACAAATTCAACGTGACTTAATTACTGTAACAGTCGACAATAACACTCATGAACATTCCGCGCTCTTCATGCATGTGAGCGTCACATAACAGAGCACGGTGGTTCAATGAGGCAAATCTCATAACAGGAATCATACCTGCGTTTACAATAATTAGTTCAATTTCGTTGCAGTAATTTTTGTAGGTCGAAAATTTTATTAAGCTAGAAGGCGTTCGAGCAGTCGTCATGCGTCAGCTTTGTGGCAAGATCTTCATGGGCCTCATCACTTCCGTACGTGGGTCATGAACTTGATTTTTTGTGTTCTAAGATTGAATTTTCCATGAATACTAATGCATAATAATCATAATTATTATAGTAATATTTGCTACCCACGTAACGTATCACATATTTTGATCAAATAAATTCTTTGTTATCGAACTTGTATAAGCGATTAAATTATGCCTTCTAATTCTAAAATACTCAAGCAGCAAGTGTCACGATCATACGTGTCAGACTCAGACGTTGAGCATATTTTTACGGCGAGTAATGCACGCACTAAACGAGTCCGTATTGCCGCAGTGATCGTCAAACCGAGTTCGGCAAGAATTACGAATGAACAAATGAACAAATTCATGAACAAATTCATATTGACGCGATATTCATATTGACGCGATGCACTGAGAAGTCAAGTACTTTGCCTGGCGGCTTCCGTCACTTCAACGTATCTGCTGCTCTTTTGTTTTCGCTCAATCGGGCTCGAAAGGACGACGTCTACGCAGAGCTGGGCAGCGCTACTTCGAAATGTAGCGCCGCTACCGCTACCGCTACATGCTCTAAATGTAGCGGGCGCTCCCGCTACCGCTACACCCACTAGATTGTAGCGGGCGCTACCACTACCGCTACAGTAAAATGTAGCGCCGATACATTAGCCGCTACAATGACCAAAATTATTGGATATCTCTAAATATTTATTGTTCTGCTATTGGGATTAACTCATTAACATTATATGATAATAAAACATTTTCAAAACATATCAATGCAATTTTACTGCAATTAACCTAACCGAACTGGTACGGGTTAGATAAATTAAATAAAAATTACAGTTATTTTTATGTTTTACCTTCCCTACATGGATGTCTCCTTTAAACTACCAATCTCAAAAATTATCCACATATACATATAAAAAATCAGTCTTTTATTTGTATATATCTGTGGATTATTTTTGAGATTGGTAGATTAAAGTAGACATCTATGTAGGGAAGGTGGAACATAAAAATAACTGTGTAAAAATAACTGTAAGCAAACTGGAACATGAAAAAATCCCTGTAAGTGGTAACTGGTAACAACTTAACAAGCAACAACTATATAACATGTTGACACTAGTAACAGGCTGAGGTTGATAACATTACACCGAAATCTTTCGTACAGTTTTATTCTGTAATTTATATTATGTATGTATCATGCTGGTTTTTAAAAAATATTTAATACTATTAAGTAAAATCTAAAGGCTTTATCTATAAATGTAGCGGTAGCGCTGTAGCGGCGAAACCTCGTATCGTTACTTAAATATGTAGCGGGCGCTACCGCTACAATTGCTTAAATGTAGCGCCGCTACCGCTACTGAAAATGTAGCGGCCGCTACATGTAGCGCGCTACTGCCCACCTCTGCGTCTATATACGACACCGAATCGCGGAATGCATTGTGGGATAGGCCGCTGTATTTGTTGCGTGGTCTAGCTTTAGCCTACGTTTTCAATCTACTGCGCTTGTCTTTAATTGTGTAGTTTTTGCTTGAAGATGGGATGCTACTGCGCCGTTGTTGAATGCACCAGTCGTTCTCATGACTATTGGAATGCGTTTTTCAGTTTACCAGCCGTGAATGCCGTGTATATATCGTATCAGTTTAGGAATCGTACTGATATACGTATCGTTTATCAGTCTACCTGTCGTGAATATTTATGATATACGATACTTTATATTTTACAATGGCAAAAACACCACTGCATTGCCGGCACTTCGTACGGATCAACATCGTTAATGTCGAACAATTTTCTTAAATTCTGGTCTCTCACTGAAGGAAAGAGTTTTTGACAATAGTTTAATCTTTCTGCTTTGCTCTTTCTTTCTCCATTGCCATCAAAACATCAGTAAGATAAGGCGAGAGTGTGCAACAAACATGGCGGCGTAACTACGTGGATCACGTGGAAACATGGAAGCTTGGCGAGCTCGATTCCCATTGATTTGCGTCGGTTTGAACTTCCTAACCATCCAAATTCATTACTTTCATTCATTCAGGCAAAATTTTACCAAATTCATTAGAAAAATTTTGCCTGATTAATACACGAGGGTCATAGGAAAGTTAATTTTTTAATCGAAACAATCGATAGAGAATCTTCTGTAACGTCCAAACAAACGAAGATTTTTTTTCGAATTTTTGTCACTTTACTTGGAAAAATTCATGTCAGGGCCGGGGGCCCCCGGATCAAATGACTAAAACCCGTGCCCGGACCCGTATATTTGGGTTACAGAAAGGTGCATTTCGTGGTCGAAGTAATCGATTGGGAATGTTCTGAAAAACACAAAACTATATTATGCTTGGGAATGGGAAAAAATTCATGTCAGGTCCGGCGGACTCTAGTCCGCTGACCGATGTATTCGGGTCACATAGAAGTGCATTCTTCGACTAAAATAATTGACAGAGAATGTTCTAAGCACCCGGAAAACATAAAAGACTGTTATCAAGTTTTTTTCCATTTACATTTTTCGATTGACTAGTGAAGAATAGCCTGAATAGGCTAGTAACTTTTTGTTGAAATCTACCAACAAAGTCAATTATGTCAAGTCCTGCAGCTTTTGGCTGCTTATGGGCCTAAATTTGTTCCTATCATTCCATGAACTTTTCGCGCTTGCAGCAAACATGCTGATTTTCAGGTAAACGTTTGCGAACGTTTTCGTTGTAGGGCTGAAATTGGACCATCTCAAATATTGTTCGCAAACAATTATCAGGTTTCAATGCATCTACTTTAAGACACTTTCTGACACAAAGACCCTCGTCCAGCAGCAGCCGGCTGTTGTCGCAGGACTTTGGCACAACACACCCTTCCCTACAAGTTGTTGTTTACAACGGTAGATCAACTGGTTCGTAAATTAAGTTTCGGCAGTGATTTTACTGGTAAAATTTCGAATCATGGCGATCAGCTTGAAGCGATCAAGCTCTAATAGTCATTTAATTTTTGTCAAAACCTACTTTGTCTGGGCAGAGTGGCCCAATGTTTGCAGTTCAGAGTATCAAGATTGGAGAAGAAATGTGAAGGCTCTAGACGACAGTTTACGGTCTAAATTGGTGAGGAGGCCAAGCGGTTAAGCAAAGCAAAATTGGAGCAGTGAGTTGTGTGTTTGAGATCACAACAATCTACGATGGTAAAAATCGGCGACAGGCCTACAGCCTAGTAAACGCTGAAATTATTATTTATTGTTTGCATATTTGCTGACGAGGTTGAAAACAGATGTATCAGTTTGAATCTCAACCGTTTGATGACTGCACAGATTGATAAATAAAATTTGTAGGCTGCACACTCGTAGGCATAACAAGACATGAGCGAAACCTCAAGGTCTCGTAGGTTTAGAAAGCAAATTTCCCTTCGCGCTCCAACTTCGATAGCATCCTACCTGGAACTGCGTCCATGTGCATAAAGGATTCGAATAAGCTGTTTATCATCGTGTTCTGCAGTCATGCCACTCGAACCGTTAAAGTAAAGTCTTTGGCAGTGGCGTCATTAGGCCTATTTTAAGGGGGCTTCAGCTGCTTAAATATTTTTAAGGTCCCTGAAATATTTCATGATAATTTATTAAAATATTTATTATATTTTTCACAAGAAATTAAAAAAAAAATCAATATTATGGGACTTGCATATAAGTTTAAATAAGTAACCATACACCAGTCTATTAACTTAAATATGATCAAGAATCTTAGGGAGCTCAGCTCCCTTGTCCTTGAAACTACAGTGGCACCCCTGGTCTTGAGGATATTAATGATTATACCACTAGCCACTGATATAATAACTTGTACAGAAATCTGAGCTGCGGTTCATCTTAAATCCCTAATGAGGATCATCACAGAATCCGAGTGAACAGTTATTGTGGAACCTAACAGCAGCAGAATCCCCGCAGAACTTGAGTGAAATGATCATCGTATAACTCATTGAAAGGACTCTCGCAGAACCCGCGTGAAAAGGTCCTCGTTACGCCTGAACAAGAATCCTCGTAGGACCCGAGTTAAAGTATTCTTGTATGATTCGGGTATAGGAATCTCGTAGAACCTAGGTAGAGGTTTATTGATGAACCAACGGCCAAAGCAAGAAAGGTCGAGAATGAAGTAGATTGTGGAGTGCTAGTGATTGGTGGCTGTATTAAGACAGTAGTTGACTAGTTGGTGGATTGGTTAGTGTTGTTGTTGTCGAGGGTGTTGGTATTGCGGTTTGTCCGTTTTAATGTACTTGAATGACCGATTCATAATAAAGTTCGTGCTGTGAGAAGAAGTTATGAAGACCAGGCAAACGATCACGAAGACATGCGTCATGAAGACCAGGGGCCATACTTTCAAAATACGCTAAGTGAACATAAGTACTTACGCTCTATTTTCTTGTCGATGATTGGTGGATTTTGCTTGAAAGGCCGTCAATGATTGGCTGATAAACTTGCGATCTCTTAACTTTTTATGAAAGTATGGACCCAGGCAAACGATCCTCGCGAATTAAAGTAACCGTCATCAATTCTAGCGTGGATTTAGTATACTTTTAATTGTATGATTATTGATGACCGTTTTTGATAACTCTCACTGCATTGGACATTAAATTGAAGCTTATTCGCTGGTATCAAACACCAAGAATTGTTCGCACGATATCAACGTGTCATCTAACGGACAACTCGCGTACTTCAGCGACCACCCGGCGGACGCGTTGGTCGAGTGAAGGGCGGGCGTGTTGGTCGGGTGAAGGGTGGGCGAGTGGGTAGAGTGGTTGTTGGTTGAGTAGTTGATGTCGTTGTTGTTGGTTGAGTGGTTGTCGTTGTTGTTGGTCGAGTGGTTGTCGTGGTTGATGGTCGAGTGGTTGACGTCGTTGTTGGTCGCGTTGTCGTGGTTGTAGGTTGAGTGGTTGAGGTGGTTGTTGGTCGAACAGTGGTGGATGTAGTTGATATTACCTGTAGAAAAAAAACATGAATCACTGATCTGCTATCAAGAGTTTCTGTAATGATGCTCTGAATATAATACCTATCGTGTGAATACTCTTAGTTCCTTCAATGATTATTCGAGTATGGGAAGAAAGATTTGCCATTCTGTATCTGCAGAAGAATGCTATTATATATTTTAAATATTTTTAAATTATTAACTATTGGTCATTGCTGAATTTCGAAGGATGTCATCCTAATTCAATTACAGTAAAATTTCTGAAAATTGTATTCCAGTGTTTTCGCTGGAAAATTGTAAATTCGCTGGAAGTAGAGGAAGTAAAATTTTAAAATGACCGTTTACAGAATGAGGTATTTACGAGGTAAAGGCATGTGAATAAAGGCTCATGGGTCACAATTCTACAATTACGTGGCACGGTTGCGTATTAGTTTTAAGTTCGATCGAACTTAAAACTCATCTGCGTTCGGGAGCATCTTGCACTCTACTCAACAAGATTGTGAGGAAACCTGAATATAAAGCTGCAGAGTGTAAGAAATGAAAAAATTCTCACCCGACAAATAAGATGGTAGTGGAACTTGAAGCCTTGGCCGCCGTCTCTGCCGTTGAAGAGTATGGTCATCTTGTTGGCTGAAGACTTGATTGGCCCGGGCAAGGTTTTTCCACAGTGAGACCGAGTCTTGGGTTTGTTGTAGAGTTTATCACCCAGTTTGCTGATCCTTAAGTAATCACCAGCGCACTTGCGGGAACCGTTGCCTCTAACGGTGCCCACGTCAAATTTTGAGAACTCCAGGATTATTTTGCAGTTTTCGGGGGCCTGGAAAATGACTAGTGTAAGAGGATTAATTAAAATGTATTTAATTGTTTATGTTTATTCGCTTCTGGATGAAATTGAAATGTGAGATTAAGTATTTAAATATTTAAAATATTAGACTTTGAAAATCAAGGAAATGAATAAATTACTTAATTATGTAATACCAATGACAATAGTTTGGACTACAATAAATAGGTGGCATTGAAGGCCAACTTTGCAAATGACTGACGGTGTGTCGCTTGAGCGATGAAGGGTCAACGTAAAAGTAAAACTGGGAACGTGAACATTCTCATTGACGTTGAATCGAATCACTAATTTGATTAATTATTCAAATAGAATTAATCGTTAATTAATCATTGATTAATTAGCGGTTGCGTAACTCACGGTGAACCACCATTCACAGATCGTGTTGGGTGCATAGTTCAGCTCCTCCACATCGCCCTGGTCCCCTAATGCCAGGTCGCATACCTGTCCGAGATAGTGGCATCCACTGCTTAATATATTTAATATATTACCACCGTATCATTTTCCTTATTTATTTATGATGCATTGCAGGAAGATTTTACGCCCGTTCAGTTCAGTAAACAGTGTTAAAAACTCATGCCTTGTTAAGTGCATGCCACCTGTGTTGAACTTGGGTATTTTCTTTACAACGGGCTCACATTCCCCTTATTAAATTAACATGTAGCTTTTGTTAAAATATATAAGCAATCGAGAGAGTGACTTCGAAATGGTCATAATGGGCATGACTGCGACAAATATAATTGGAAATACGAAGCTCACTTTGTGACACGCGGTCGTCTGCGCTCGAATTTTCATGTCGTAGCCTTCGTCAGCTTTCCTGGTAGAAGTTTGATACTTGATGTATGTCTGTGATGACGGTAAGTAGATGTTTTCTCCATTTGCAGCGGCTACAGTCCTTTAAAAACAAAAAATATTGTGGTGCAAGTTAGAAAAGTATTGTTACAATAGCCACACCTTTCAAAGAATAATAAAATTTTGAAGCTTTGGTACCTAAAACCGGGCTCGTATTCAAATGCACGAAACAATGATATATCAACCTTCCACCAGCCTATTATTGAGGGTCTACTTCCTGTGCGTATTTTTAACCTGTCCACATGAGATCGAGCAGCTGTGATCTAATTTCCTCGTAATTATAATGAAACGACCTAGTCGCTGGAGAAATTTTTCTCCAATTGTATTGTATATTTAATTTTGTTCACAAACGTAGTTTTCCTATTTCACTACTTTCCTAATCACGATGCCAATAGAAAAACATAATTTTTTCCCCGTTTTGATAGTAAGCCATAACTTACTACTTCTCATATTGTTTGCTTGAACATTCTTACCATGTATTGTAATAATACTTGTACCTTTGGTTATATAAGAGTAGCTCAGAGACGTCGCTTCTCCCTAGCACGTCGAACACCCCGGGCTGGATCACCAGGTAGCTGGGTCCTGCCTGCGAATGTTCAAACTCATGAAAATCCGACCAATACTTTAATTAATTAATTAATCAAGGGGAATATTACATGCATTTCACAATGTCGTTATTAACGCTCAACTACATTCAAACGCGGCAAAGAACGGCGAATCTGCGAGCTAAGGAGCGCGGGCTTCTAGAGTTTTTAGTGATTTACATTTAATACTCGTACACCGAATGTTATATATACATGTAATTACTGCATGATGAACATGCGTTGTTCCGGATACGTAATTATTCGCATCCAAAATTTTAAACGGTAAATTATTCAGTGAATCATTTTTTAATAACAATTTGATATTTTTCCAGGACGCCTGTCCCTGCTTTAAATGCTCGGTAGAAGGAATATCTATGGCATTCTCATTATAATAATTTTGAAAAGTAACGTTTGTTTGAATTCACCTAAATGCAAAAATTAACGGGAGTGGAATTTTGTCTAAGTTTAGTGAGGAAGGTTCAACAGCAGCTCATAACATTTCATTTCCGTCTGACATGCAGTCACGAGCTAACGGCTTTCTTAAGCTAACATTTCATGTGTAACCCATAGAATAAAACATAAGCCTCACCGTGGATATTCTGGCCGTGCAATTAACAATGTTTGGTAAGTCCTCGGATGACGTAGGGCTCTTCAAGAGGAAAGTTTCCTCGTCGATTTTTTCGGCTGTGCAAGGCTCTTCTCCTTTGATTGTGAAGCCTACGAGTCCTGTGTGGGCAGTGCAGGCAGCCCCCGCTGCATCCTGAGATGACCGACAGGCTCAACATATTTGGTGTATCTTTAATGAGGTCACGCTCATTTTGTACTGTATCTATCGTTAGCAGCAAATGTGAGAAAATAGTACTTGGAATGATCAACTTGTCTCTGTACAGCCCGAGAAAAAAATGTGACTGATATTCAGAGTGCTTGCATAATTGAAAGATTTTTGTTGCAACAATTCTCTTGCATCGAAGATTTTAGAAACGTTCATAAGCTTGCATCTGCAAATATAATCGTCTGAAAGTCTCGGGAAAATTCTATTTGATCTACTGACCTGGGGGCAGAACAGCAACATCGACTGTAGACTCAAGCACAGCAGCAGTGCGACTCCGGCAGAGGACTGCATCCCGTATCCTGCGCGTTAATTAAACAGAATTTCGTCGCGTTCAGAATCTTGTCGGGCACAGTATCCGTCGAGCACAGAATCTCGCCGAGCATAGAATCTCGTCGAGCACAGAATCTCGTCGGGAACCGAATCTCGTCGAGCACAAAATTCTCTTCGAGCAAAGAATCTCGGCGAGGGAGGTGTCGAAGCAAAAGTCAGTTTATGAGCGGAAAACTTGAAAGAGAGGTAGTCGAGTGAGTAGGAACGATTTCTTCAGGATGGGTGTAAGGAGAAGGAAAAGAAATGTGGAGTTGCGTACGTCGGGACTGCAACGATTTTCACAACATTAGTCGCAAAATCCTTAATACCAAATACATTGAAATGCAATGTTCACGCAATATTTTTGGACCCTTCAGGTAAACATGAAGAGTAACAAGGCAATAAGATCGCTGAAAATGTCAAGAAATACTCGGAATTTTGATACGCAAACTATATGAGGCTTGTGTTTTTGTCGCACTCTGAAGCTGGATCAACGAACCCGTGTTTGATTTAATTCAAAGATTACTTTACATTTGCCGTTCTACTTTTTATTTGTCTTCAAGAACTTGGAACTAGAGGTTAGCAACAGTATTTATATAGAATTATAGTCTACCACGATATACTCTATGAGCTTTATTGATCATGAATTAAACATTTTTATCTCAGCGTATAATGAATGCATTCCGAATGAAAAATTTGGAAGGTGCTAAAGTAAATTGTTCATCCGGGGTTATTTTGTTTCATATAATTAACTATTTGGAAGTAGACTGAACATAGCTAGAACAGATGACGTACGTGAGCAAAGTATGTCACATTGCTCGGCAAAATAATTGTTTCAGCTTCCGTAGGCCATTATGAGGAGCGTTAACAACCCAATTATTTCATTAATGATGTATTTTTATTTGCTGTGCCTCCCAAGTCAAAACTGAAAAAAACGTATAACATTTGAGTTAATTAATCTATGAATGGATGTGCTATTTCTTCTTTGTACAAAAAATAGAGTCAAATTCAAAATTTACCTCGGAGATATTTAGGCGGTGTATGATTATTAACCATTCGACTCACCGTACTATTCCAGCTCGTGGTTGTTTCAGGAGAGGCTGTAAGTGAAGTGAAGATGCAGCGATACACTCATACTTATATACCAGGCAACCGCCGTGGCTTGCAGGTGGTGATACTGCACTACCAAATATCATTGTTGTTTATGAATGAGGAACTCCCATCTCTCAATTACTGACTCAATGCACCATGGAGGTGTCAACGATGACTCACCTCACCTGTCGCGGGTCAATTGTAACAAGAAGCTCATTAATTAAGTTCAGCGTTACATCAGTCATTTGTGACGTGCAGAGTACGACCGATAAATGTTTGAAAGACGTCAGCGGATTCATTACGGATACTAGTTCTGATGGATTTATTGCATGGGCTATCAATGGAATAAATAAACTGCAATTGAGTTAATTATCTGAACTATACAAATGATGGCACGCTGTTAAATAAATTATCCACAGTCAAAAGGGAATTTGAGATGCCACTTGCAACAAGTATTTGTAATAGACAGTGAGTCTTTGAGTCCATGATATTATTAATTCTTTTGTGATGCTCATTTGGGTACGTAGTGAAAAATAGAATCTTACGAACCGACAATTGATGCAGTTAACATGCGTGCGGCCGACAGTCTGTATGGTAAAGACGTTGTCGATACATATATCTCATGTGTTCTCAGACTAAGGTTCGTTTAAACGTTGTGTGGGCCAGCTTGTTCTATGTGTCTTCGCATACCATTGTTAAGCAAGCTATCTAGGCAAGTTAGATTATTGAGTAAATTAATCAATTTAAAATTAAATCCTTAGTTTTTAAACTGATAATGTTGAAGAGGAGAATGTCGATTTTGAAACTCGATAATTATTACGAAGCAAATTTCGAAGTTGCTTTTGTTGATGCAATGCGTAATGTTCTTTCATATTTGCTGTTCTCGTTTACCAAATTATTTTTAAGCCTCAAAATCAGTGATATTCTAGTAATAATGATTTGCCACGAGCAATCCTACACAAGGATTATTTTTCCGTAGCAAGTCCCATCCACTGCCTGATTTCATGATAGGACTCTGAACTAAATTCTTTAGGAGGTAAATACCGAGAGAAAGATTTACACTCATTGAAAATTTTGTGCCGAGGTTCACAATTTATCTAAGTAATTTTTTACCTTGCAGGGAGGTTATATGGCCATTCACAGGCCGCACAATTCCCTAACAAAAATCACGTTACGACCAGACTCTAGTTGGACATAACCCACTAAGCCTATAGTTAATATAAATTGAATCAACGATTCTAGTCAGGCATTAGAATTTTATGTCTATTTCCTGTTAAAAATGTAATAATTTTTATCACAACCCATGAAGTCACCATAAATCTTTTCTTCCTCACTCAACCGAGCATAACAAAACGAATGACCATAAATTGACGTTACCGATTTCACGTGGGTACGAATGAAACATGAGTTTCATTTTTCCTTCTAATTTAAGTATAACAAACTAATTAACTAAGCTTCGAAGTTGAAATGATTACGGGTAGCATGCCGACTTTGACGGAGACTTTCGTATTAGTTTTAAACACAAGGGCTAAAGAGTCGCGTTATGGTCTGGCTCTAAATTTCCTTGCGCCGGAGAGAGGAGGGATGAACACGAAGGAACTTTTCGTAGTATACGGGTGATCTTCAGTCGATGTACAAGATTCTCCATGCAAGATCGCACAATTTATTACAAGCGCCCTTCTCCATACCATACAATTAAGGGCACTGAGAGTAACAAAAAATAGACAGCAAATGATACGGGTACGAGCCGCACCGAGATGCCAACAACCAGTCGCAGTTACTAGGGGTACGAGCCCTAATACACTGATGAGAATAACAAAAAGTAGACGGCAAATGATACGGGTAGGAGCCGCACTGAGATGCCAACAAATATATTTCGTCTCAACCTTACACCGGTCCTTTTAGAAATAGAGAAAAATGGTACTGTTTTTAATTGTGTAAAACATTTTAATGAACTGCCTGATGATTTCAGAATAAACTGTACTCAATCCATTTCAAAGACAAAATTTCGTGATCTTATTCTTGCTCAATATTAATTTAATATCATATCGTTTTTTTTCCTTGTGACAATTTACTTATGAACTGCCTTCACTTTAGGATGTGTTCTTTTGGAAAAATTTTTGTTGTACTTGTTGCCACTATTACATTCATACTTGGCACCTATTACGCCCGCGAAGCTTTTTTTATAGCTTGTATGGGCTTTTCACCCGGAAGCCTTTATCAACAAATAGCAGGTTTTTTCTTTTTTATTGAGTTGTGCTATGTTGCTTCTGTGTGTAAAAGAATAAAGAAAGAAAGAATAAAAAATACTTGAGCGCAGAGGGTATGAGCCCTCACCACATGAGAAATGCACTCAACGGGTGCGAGCCGGCCCAGAGCGCTGCCAGCTGCTGAACCTAGCCAAGTACTCTGCATACGTCTTATTTAGTCTGTTAGTGGATACCATGCTTACGCCTGGTTTTGTCAAGCGCCCTGCGAAACGGCTAAGTTATGAGATATGTCTAGTATCCGCAACCATTCTACTACTGCACAGTCTTGGTTCCCAGATCTGGTTCGCTGAATTTGAGTCGGAATGTGTGGTCCCCCACCAAGTCGCACTGAGCACACAGAATTTGTCCGCCAAGGTTAACTTAACTAAAATAACCTCACAGCAATACCACGTTCGCAGCGCAATAAAATGGACTAGCCTCATAATTCATGCACAAAGAAGACAATATAGTACAATAGAAATATGGTAATGATAGTTTTAATTCTTTAGCAGACTAATCACAAGTCAATGATCAAATAATCATAAACTGATTCTAAAGAGAACGAGTTTTCATTCATTCAAGACCAATGAAGGAAATGAACTCGCACCTGCGCGAGTCTAGCAGCTGATTCTACCAATCGCGTTAGGGTTACAAGACGTTTAGCCACGCCCCGAGCACTAATAATTAAATACTTTGATTTAACAAAATAATATCAGAGTTAAATGAGACTCCATATTTTAGTCATAAAACAAATGCATTAAAGCGTTATCTGGTCACTAATCTGGACAAAAGAACATCATCAAAAGAGCGTGTAGTCAAAATGGTACTCACCAAGTAAAAAATATCGCAAAATATGTATCCCGTCGCAGTAGGAAACATATGAGGCCAGATCAACGCTCGTATATGACTACGTACAATGAAGAAGTTATTACTTGGGTTCGATGTGCTGGCAGATAACCTAAGAATATTTTTTATGAGTCGGGAGTTTTCCGATATAAAAAGGAAAATTGTTTTATCGCTTATTGTGCAATGCTCAGTGTTTAAATAGCGATGGCAAAATTTTTAGTTCGTAATAATTTGATTTCGTGCGATAAATTTAATATACTAACTTTATTGTGAAGCGTAAGATATAAATAAAAGTTTTAAAAATATCATAAATAAATGTTTTAACAAACTAATTTTGAACGCTACGAGCTAGCTCACCGTGCTTGCATGGAGAACATAACGGATTAACAGAATAACGAACAAAACCCATGAAACAAGCGTAATGATTAAAAAAAAAATCTATCTTGTATAAGATAGCCTGCTGGAGGAATGTAACAAATGAAAGAAACTACCTAATTTAAACTAGAAAAATATAGGCTCTTACCTTGATGCATTAATTAAAAAATTTTGCCAACATGCGAAGTTGTTCAAATATACGTATTGTTTGAGCAAGAAAAAGGAAAGCAATTCAAGCAAATATTCGTAAATTACAAAAATCCTGACGTCAGAAGCTCAGAAGTTAAACTTAATTATGAAAATAGCATCAATCCATTGAGTGAAACCTAATATAGGAAATATAACAATTACAACTTATTATTAACAATATCGGATATAAATGATACATTCCAAGATCAAAAATGTGATCATATTAAAGGGGCAATGCAGATTTTATATTTTATTACAACGTAACCGATGTGGTTTCTTGCTGCCATAGCGGTACCTTCAAAAGCGGTCCTGTAGTTGAGACAAGAAGGAGGAAGAATTAACAAGCATGTAACATAACATAGTGATGTCGGCGCTGAATGTGGCCTTTCGCGGATTTTTTTCCTTTTCGTGCCTTGTTCACAGAAGATCTAAATCGTGTCATTTGACCGGATCTTTTCATGACTGACGATAGTTTGAAATGGCTACTAGACTTCCACCGGGTTCGATATGGTGCTAGGCATTTCAAGTCTGAACATATATTTTTCAATCTGGAATACTGTTCAAGTCCTCATTTGTGAACACACTGCTGAAGAACTGATTAAGAACGTTAGCCTTGCCCTCATCAGAGGAAATCTTTCGTTGGTCTACTTTCAAATCAGATATACAGTCCTTTTTCTTACACTTTGAACTAGCGTACAAAAAGAAGGCTTTCGGATTCTTTTTTGCATTTTTAGCAATATTAATTTAGAAGTTTTTCACTGCAGTGCGAGAAACACTTTTAGCTTGATTTCGAGCTCTTGCATACAGGTTATAATCAGAATCTCTGCAAGTTCGTAAATAACGCTTGTAGGCTTCTTTCTTGGTCTTTAGTTGAGCCTTAACTGCACTGTTCTTCCACTGGGACTTTTTTGACTCCTCCAACCGTTATCTTAGGTACACAGGCATCAACTTCAGACATAACCGTGTCTTTGAGAAATGACATGAATCAGCCACATTCATGTTCTTAATTAATACAGTCCGAAATATTCGCCGCATTCACCGCTTCACGTAGTTTATCGACGGCCATGAAAACCGCTCGTGAGTAAAAGATTGTTTTGGGCAACCTTGGAAAAGAAGTAGATGCAGGTAATATATTATACAGTATATACATTTCTATAATTGGTTTTAAGACAAGTGTTGTCTGAAGCACCTCCCAGCCTGATCTCTGTTTGTGTTTAGGATTTATACAGTATAGCGTTGATAGGCCAAACACGCCTCAGTAAATTGTAGAAAAGGTTTGCGAGCTGGAGCTTGAAGAAACTACTAGTTTTGACTTCGTGATTTTAATCAAGTAATTAAAACCAGCAATCGAGTTATTTAAGTACTTTTGATATCGTTTCAGCTTTCGCAAATTTTTGGCTGTGATTCTATGATTGTTCGTGGCATCAGAACAATAATTAATTGTTTTTCATTCCATGTGGGATATTTATATAAATTATTTTAGTCAGTCTGTAGTATGCTTCTAAATAAACCGTGCTATTCAGGTGTGAGATATTCAGTAGAAATTTCGTAATATTGTATAGATATTACAATACTTCCACTATTGATGAATATATTTGCACGAAGCATTCGCAGCTTTGAGCTAGTCGAGTTTTCTCCTCTATTATTTCAGACTCAACGTCCAAATTTGCAACAATAACTGAAGCTTATTTAGAAAGCGGCGAGGTATATGAAATAGCTTGGTAGTCGGAACGTGACACTCCAAATCTGATTTCTGCCAGCAGTATAGAGCTCGCTTATAACTCAAGTAAAGTATTTGCGATGGATTTTGCCGCATCTTTCATCGCTGCGTCGAGGGTGCTGTGGGGTAGGTGCTGTAAAAAAACTATTCGAAAGCTGCTTCAAACGCTTTAATTGTAGGAAACTATGTATCCATTACCTTATACATAATGGCTTATTTTCCTTTTGTCATAGCTAGAAGTTTTGCGGGAGGCGTTACGGGAATGGTGACCAATTATGACGGTATTAAGGGCTACCTACGATCATCCTGCCTGCACACCACGATATTTGAATACGTTTTCAAGATTCTAATTTAGCGACTTTCAGAAAGAACTTGTCTTCCAATCATCATGTAATTAACCTACCTATTTCAGTGTGATGTCGACCTAAATATGCATATATTTTTACGCGATTGCAAAAATGTTGGAATTTACAGGGAAATCACAAAAAAAATCTTCAAGTAGGGCATATATGCTATTTTTCTGTTTTGGAGACCATTACGACACGCAAGGGTTACAAAAGCTACCATTACATGGGCTTGTTCAATGTTCATATCAAAAGTGTTTTGTTTATCATTGATTATCACGGAAAGTAAATTTGTGGTTATCTATTCGGGGGTAGGCAGTATAGTGTTTCTTCTTCGTTCGGTCCAAGAAATATTATCCATTGAAGTGAAGTATACCATGAGCAGTCGAAATTGTGGGCAATCACCGGCCAGCTATACGGTAGTACTTGTAGATGTACTGGTGCTTGTTGAAGTGGATGTACTTGTAGAAGTAGAAGTAGAAGTTGTCGTTGGAGTAGTGGTGGTTGTTGTCGTTGGAGTGGTGGTCGTTGTCGTTGCAGTGGTGGTTGTAGAATACGTTTTAAAGATTCTAATTTAGCGACTTTCAGAAAGAACTTGTCTTCCAATCATCATGTAATTAACCTACCTATTTCAGTGTGATGTCGATTAAAATATACATAGATTTTTAATTTTTGCGCGATTGAAAAAATGTTGAAATTTACAAGAAATCAGGAAAAAATCTTCAAGTAGGGCACATATGCCATTTTTTAGACCATTATGACACGAGAGGGTTACAAAAGCTACCATTACAGGCGCTTGTTCAATGTTCATATCAAAAGTGTATTGTTTATCATTGGTTATATATCACGGAAAATAAATTTGCGATTGTCTATGCGGGGGTAGGAGTGGTAGTGTTTCTTCTTCGTTTAGTCCACAAAGTGTTATCCATTGAAGTGAAATATCCCAAGAGGAGTCGAAATTATAGGATATCAGCCAGTTGGAGGTGTGGTTGGAGTGGTGGTTGTTGTCGTTTGAGTGGTGGTTGTGGTCGTTGGAGTGGTGGTTGTTGTTGTCGTTGGAGTGGTGGTTGTTGTTGTCGTTGGAGTTGTGGTTGTTGTTGTGGACGTAGAAGTGCTTGTTCCAGTAGTACTTGGTGGCGGTGTCGTGGTTAGGCCCTGTAATCAGAGAAGAAAATGTTAGATTTTATGACGGTCTTCGTTCCGCAGGCAAAATAATCGATTTATGAAAAAACTGTAATTATCATTTCACCGTTTGAATGCTAATTCTAATATACAAATCGTATATTCACATCGAGAATTTCAATTCTTTTCCATTTTGGTAAACATTTTGACAGAAATTGATGTTTTATTCAATTAAGTCTCAAAAATTAGTTTCAAAGCTTTCTTTGGTTTGGTTTCTGGGGAATTAAAATTAAGTTTTTCATGTTGACAAAATCTGTAAAAAATTTACATTCCTCTCAACCATGTTGGATAAGTTGACATACAAACAGTGGATGACAAAAGTATCGTGATCCTGTGCAATTATCCCAGCGACAACGTTTAGATCTAACTACTCACTGGACATTCGACGCGGTAGTTCAACTTGAAGCCGTTGCCGCCATCTTTGCCGTTGAAGAGGATGTTAAGTTTGTTGCCGTCGGACTTTACTCGCTTTGGCAACGAACTTCCACACATGGACCGCAACTTGTTTTTCTTGTATAGTTTGTCCCCCAGTCTACTCACTCCTAAGTAATCCCCCTGGCACTTGCCGGAGCCGGATCCCCCAACTGTACCCACGTCGAAAGAGTCAAACTCCAGGATGATTTTGCAGCCCGTGGGCGCCTGCAATTAACCCATGTTCAAGTTATGAGATTAAAGGGGAAAGCATCTTAGGGTTCACGACACGAAATGTTAATAAATAAATATGCCTGAAACTCTTGTATAATTGGAAAAAATAAGAAAATAAATTAATACTGGAAAATCAAATCTTTAGATCATAAAAAAATATTCAAGGAGACTCTGATCGAAGAGCTATATAATTTTTATTTCATTTACGATTCACACATTTAAGCGATAGTAGAAAACGAGTTATATACGAGTGTAAAAATTCTTTCCTTTCCAATATTTATACATTCGTCTAATTTACTTCCTAAATTAGGACTCACGGTGAGCCACCATTCACAGAAGGTGTGAGGTTTGTAGTTCAGCTGGTGCAAGTGGCCTTCTTGGCCGGCTTGCAGATTGCAGATCTGCCAGTGACAAATGAGTCTCTTGATTAGAATAATGCAATAATATACATCCTAATTACTCTTGTCTTAGGATGTGAAGTTTATTTTGTGATTACTTTCATATTTTGCTTATATAAAATAGAGTGCAAATTTTTATATGATTGACATTTCTCATCAAAATAATTAAATACAGAAATGTTTTTCTGATGATGGCTCCTAGACGTCATAGTGTGCGTTGCAAATTTAATAGTAGGAAACAAGTGAACACGTTTATTCCAAAACTCGAAATTTCCCGGTGAATTGAAAATTTTATTTTTAATTTTAGCCAATTTTTTTGGATATTTGATATGAGAAAATTCATTACGTAAATATTTAGGCATGAACTTGAGACGAGAACCGCATATTATTCTTCAAGTCCTAACCGTTTACATGAAGGAAGTCTCCGAGACACGAAATGAATTAAGATGTTATACTCAAAATCAACAGCAGTAAGCCGAAGAGCAGCGGGTTGTAATATAATAACAAAAAATCTACACTCACATGTTGACAGTCGTTTTTCTTCGCCGTGATTTTTAAGTCAAAGCCTTTTCCAGAATTTTTCACCGATGATCGAAACTTGATATCCGTTCCTGATGATGGCGAGTAGATGTCCATTCCCAAATCAGCAGAGGTCAACCTAGAAAATTCACGCGTCAAAACGAACTTGCAATGACCTCTTAATATTCAGTCATCGATAGACTTATAATTAGCAGCTAACTGGTGGAAAAGAAGTATGAAAGTCGACATCTATAAAACCTGAAAGAGTAACTATTACGAAAGAACAAACCTATGAAACTATCGACTTTTTACAAATTATATTGTTCACCGTACTGTGCGTGAAATACTAGCACTCGAGTTTAAATTCACAAATATAGTTATACAAATATTATTTGTAGCGAAATCAACTGACATGGCACTTACTTGGATCACGGATGTAACGAATGAATTTAGGTTATTGCAGAAGTCACTAACTGAGTAATCTATTCCACAGTCGCAGCAGCGATCTCTCTCTCAGTATACGATATAAGCCAAATTACTTCCAGTCAACATTATTTACCATTTACTAATAAATTATAACTCGTTATACCACTGCTTATGTTTGAACGGCTTGATGAGGGTGATGCGGTCCTTCTCCTGCACGTCGATCGCCATGGGGTGGATAACAAGGTAGCGGGGACCAGCCTGGGACAAAATAAGAAGAAATGCACCAATCTCTATCAGAGAGTTTGGAAGTTCACCAAAACTTGCTGGGCTGTACGAGATTTTTATATTTTTCTCGAATTAGTTAGTGTCCATGATCAGAGCCCTTATTGAGAAGCGAAAAATTATCTTGCCAATATTTTAAATCAATTTATGCATGTTAAATGAATATCAAATTAATCTAGGATTTTATTGAATATTGAGTTGAATGGAGAGAACAATAACAGTATATATGCGCAGCATGATGAAACTCGGTTCAATATTTAGAATGGCACAGAATCTTTGGTATGAAGTATTGTAAACCGTCATGCACAACTTATATTAATCGGGATGTTAGCAGGGCAAGATTTTATCGAAACTTCCTAGACATCGGTTTACCCTCTCTTTGCCAGATCACATTAATGTCCTATGATGTGTTTTCTGGTATGCCATCATAAGCCGTCACTCAAGAGGGAAGAGAAGGCAAAGCTCATTCGAGCTACGGTTTTCGGTTGATTGGTTCCAACACGCATCACCGTATCAACAATTTTGTGCAACTCCAGCAATATTTTTTACTGCATAAACGCTCTACTGATCAATATTTCAATATAACCCGGTTTGCTCATTCATCCTTGATGCCTCAATAGGACCATATAGAGTTCTCTTTGAACCCTTCGGTAAATACTTTATTGGGTTAGAATAAGTACGGTTGAAGTAACAATAAGTTTGCATTAAAATAGCAGCAGCTGACATATCCAACCCTTGCAATTTCACGTTTCAGTATTCGAAGCATCAGTTTACGAGGCATTTATTTATCATAAGCGTCCGAAAAAGTGTCTCAGGACTGGTGAGCAACTAAAACTAAAACGATAGTGAACTTAATGGAGGAAACTGAAGTCGTTGACAATTTGCCTATCATATAAATGGAGGACACGACACGCATTTGGCTCGTCTTTCATTGCCTGGAAACCGTAATAACGACCCGACCCTTATTTAAAATGCAAGTACTTTTTTGTAATGGTTCTGAAGACGTTTTATATAGTGATGCGCAAGGATTAATGACAAGGCTCACCGTCGATATCTTTGCGTCACATTTGATTTTGTTGGGGTAGTCATTAGGGTAGTTGGGGCTTTTCAGGTGGTAGGTTTCCTCGTCGATTTTCTGGGCGGTGCAAGGAGCTTCTCCTTCGATCAGGAAGCCGACGGATCCCTGGTAGGGGACACAGTGACTACCAATAGCCTCCTGTTATCAGAAAGAAATGCCTACGATGAAACCACGTGATGTTTTCTTCTTCTTGTACATCATTTATTCATCGAAAGCATAAGCATTTGGAAACTTGGTCATGAACAAATGAGATTCTCATGGCATATATAATAAAAATACATTACGTTAGAATTCGGAGGAATATTAGAAAACAGTTTGAAAAGTCACCCTTAATTGAATTCAAGAAAAAAATTTTCGGACGTTGCTAACTGCTTTGTTCTAGACAAGTAAGAGGTCATGTCCATAGATCCAGGCCTGTAAATAATGTAAGAAGTAAACACATGCATCAAAGTGAATGTGCACAAAAAGATTTAAAATGTTTTTACATGAACTCGGATTCTGTTTTGAACAAAAAAGTGAGCTGTTAACTGTGATCGAAAACGAGCGCATAGACATTATTTGTATTACAGAAACGCTCCCTAAAAATCACGGGGGAAAATTGTACCTGTATTGTAGCATGACTTTCAATAGGTCACACACGTTGATCGTTGGTGATTTTAAACATCCAGAGCAGGACTGGACAGATGGATCCTCTCCAAGGGATGAGAATAACCCAGCATCCTTGTTCATGGAGTCAGTAAGAGACTCCTTCCTAGTCCAGCACGTTACCAAGCCAACCCATTATAGAAGTAAACAGTCTCCCAATATTCTAGACCTGGTGTTTACCAGTGATGAATCAATGTTGGATGAGCTTCGTCACGAGGCTCCATTGGGCAAAAGTCATCGCCAATCATTGTTTTTCAGCCTTAAGTGCTGTACAGAAAACACGCCTCGAAAGCGTGAGCGTTTGAATTTTGCGAAATGCAACTATGATAAACTCCGTGAAGCAGTGAAATCAGTGAATATTTCGAAGTGTGTTAAGGACATTAATGTAGCTGAGTCATGGTCATTTATCAAGGACACGATTAAGTCTGCAGTTGATGCGTGTGTACCTAAAATTAATCATGATGGAGCCAAAAAATCAGTGGATGAACAGTACAGTTCTAGCTAAGCTGAAAACCAAGAAGGAACATCTTTACCGTTATTTTCAGACTCTAGCGATGCTGACTATAACCGATACGCAAGAGCTCGAAATCAAGCTAAAGAAAGCTGTTGCAACGCTGTAAAGACCCTCGAAAAAAATATTGCTAAAAATGCAAAAAATCCAAAAGCCTTCTTTTTGTACGCTAGCTCGAAGTGCAATATAAAGGACGGTATTTCTGATTTGGAAGTAGATCAAGTAGATATCATCAGAGTAGATATCCTCTGATGAGGGTAAGGCTAAAGTTCTTAACAAGATTTCAGTAGCGTATTCAGTGAAGAGGACTTGAACAGTATTCGAGCTATTGAGGAGCGCCCAGTCGGCTCAAAATTAACAAGTTTTGAAATACAAGTAGAAGAGGTTCTCAAGCGCCTTATCGCTGTAAATCCAAATAAGTCATGTGGACCGAACGACTTCCACCCCAGATTACTCTAAGAGTTAGCAACTGTCACAACCGGCCCTTTGACGTCATTTTTCCGAAAAACTTAACTTTGAACGAAGGGATCTTGCCGGCTGACTGGAAAAAGCGCAAGTGACACCATTGTTCAAAAAAGGTGACAAAAGCTGCCCGGGCAACTATCGCCCTGTCAGTTTGACAAGTGTCGTTTGCAAGGTAATGGAATCTGTTGTGAGGGAGCGATTGCCAGATCAATTGACTGCTAATAAACTCCTATCAGGCTGTCAACATGGCTTTATTGCCGATAGATTCTGCACCACTAACCTCTTGTCTACTCTGAACGAATGGACCCGCCTGTTGGTCGAAAGTGAGCCAGTAGATGCAGGGTACCTCGATTTTGCCAAGGCATTTGACAGTGTCCCACATTAGCAGCTGTTGCGTAAATTTAAGTCTTTGGGAGTTGAGAGTAATATGCTCAATTGGATCAGAGATTTTTTAGGGGCGACTAACTTTAGACTGACGAATTTTAGGGCGACGACAACGCGTCAGTATTAATGGGTCCGTATGAGACTGGGCTTCAGTGCGCTTCGGCGTGCCACAAGGAAGCATTCTCGGGCCTGTTTTATTCGTTGCGTTTATAAACGATCTGCAAGAAGCTGTGTCTAGCGTGTTATCGATGTATGCTGACGACACAAAAATTTATAATACAGCGAAGAATACATCGCAATAAGTATAGTTGCAAGGTGATCTTATCAGGCTGGTTGAGTGGGCTGATAAGTGGCAGCTTCGTTTTAACGCTGACAAATGTAAAGTAATCCACCTAGGCAAGAATTATGAACTGCAAGATTACAGTATGAGAAGACACTGTTGCAACGACAGAGGGATGATGTCGAAGTCGACAATGGAAAAAGATTCCGGAGTTAATATCGACAATGAGTTGAAATTTTCTAAGCATATTTAAGGTCAAGTTAATAAAGCCAATAAAAGTCTTGGACTGATCAGACGCTCTTTCGAGTTCCTAGATGTGGAAGCGATGAAGCAGTTGTTTGTTACTGTCGTGCGCCCGAACCTAGAGTTTGGAGACGTCATGTGGTCACCGAAACTTGAAAAGGAAAAAAAATTAATAGAGAGTGTCCAAAGACATGCAGCAAGGATGATTCCGGGCTTGAAAGGCAAGTCCTATGAGGAAAGAATAAAGATTATGAAGCTTCCGAGCCTCAGTTATCGACGTCTGCGTGGGGACCTCATTGAAGCTTACAAGTATACTCATGGCTTATACAAGGTCCCAGAAGGATTACTAGAATTTGAAACAAGAACCAACACCAGGGGCCTCGGCTATAAACTAAAAAACTGCGTTGTAACACATCCATGGGACAACATTTCTTCTCGCTTCGAGTTACCGACAGTAATTAACGTTCAGAGTACCAAGATTGGAGCAGAGAGGCGCGGGTTCGATTCCAGCTCTGTTTGATAGTTTCTAGTCAGAATCGGCAAGGAGGCCGGGTGGTTAAGCACAGCAGAATAAGAGCAGTGAGTTACGCGTTCGAGACCGTAACAAGCTGTGCATGTTCTGCGATATTAAGAATCGGCGACAGGCCTACGGCCTTCTAAACGCTGAAACCACTATTATGTGGAATAGCCTCCCTGATAGCATCGTTGACGTTCAGAGTATGAACGCCTTCAAGAACAGACTAGACGAGCTATGCAGGAGCAAATGTTCAGTCTTAAAATGCCTAGCAACTTACGGACCAGGCACAATAAGTCCAGCAGCTGTCTCAATCAATCGTCAGTCATGGAAAGATCGGGTTCCAAAGGCCGAATCCCTTGCAAATCAAGTCACGAAAAGTACAAGAACCGGCAACAGGCTATGGGCCTATTTCTCCAGTGCCGACATTTCTATTCTATTCTTAACTGGCCTGTGTGCAGAGCAGCAGCATCAGATGAAGACTCCCGAACAGCAGCAGCGCGATGCCGGTAAGTGACCGCATCTTGCGTCCGCTTGAAGAAGTCCTAGCTGGATAGATTTTTGCAAGGCCTGTGCGTCGGAACTGCAAGAATATTAGAGATTATGAAAATTTTAAGAACAACGTAAAAAGAAATGTTGCAGGAATCTTATAGAACATGATTCATTGTAGATAATGGCTCGGAAAGATCCATGGGCTCGTAAATAAAATTAGAAATGGAAGCAGCGTTTGCCAGAAAGGGCATAGAAGTACAAATAGATTGCATGCTGGCACAGAGTAAATAGCGCGTCATGAAAACGAACATATTCAACATGTGAATTTCTCTCTTCGGGTTAAAAGTGCCGTTAAATAAATCAATTCGAGATATTGTGAAGATTTTACTGTTCATAAATTATTCAGCCTTAGGACAGCATTTATTTGTACTTAGTAATTACCATTGAACAATAGACAAAACAATTATGCTACTTGTTCTTCTTACATAAATTGCAATTGAGTTAATTAACTGTATTATACAAATTGCTGCACGCTGTTGAATAAATTAACCACAGTCAATAGGGTATTTGAGATGTCACTTGCGATGAGTATTTGAAATAGTCAGCGAGTCATTCAGTCCAAGATATTATAAATTCTTTTGAGAGCTCCTATTTGGGTACGCAGTGAATAAGCGATTCTTACGAATCGACAATTGATGCAGTAAACATACACGCGCCGGACAGTCCGTATGGTAGAAGACGTTGTCATGACACAAGTGTGGGCGAACTTGTTCTCTGTGTCTTCTCATACCATAGTTAAAAGAGATACATACGTAAGTAAGATTAAGGAATAAATTAATCAATTTAAAATCAATTCATTAGTTTTTAAACTGATAAGGTTGAAAAGGAGAATGTCGACTTTGCAAATCGAGAATTATTTCGAAGTAAATTTCGACAGTTGCTTATGTTGATGCAATGCGTAATGTACTTCTATGTTTACTGGTTGTTTTTCTTGCCGTTTACAAAATTATTCCTAACTAAGCCTCAAAATCAGTAATATTCTAGTAATAAGAACTTGACACGAGCGATCTAACACAAGTTGGAATATTTTTTGGTAGCAAGTGCCGACCATAGCCATGATTTCCCTCTGAACTAAATTTAGATGGTATAGACCGAGCGAAAGTTTTATACTCATTGAAATATTCCGTACCGAGTTTCATAATTTATCTAAGAAATTTCTCTTGCAGGGTGGTTGTATGGCCATTCATAGGCCACATAATTCCCTAACACCAGGGGATTCACGTCACGTTACGTCCAGTTCGTCGTAACGTTTTCCTCCGTCACGTTACGACCAGACTCTGGTTGGACACGATCCACTCAGCCTATAGTCAATATGCATTGAATCAACGATTCTTGTCCAGCATTGAAAATTTATGTCTATATCATGTTAAAAATGTATTAACTTTTATTACAACATTTGAAGTCATTATAAATCTTTTCTTCACCACTCAACCGGGCAGAAAGAACGAATGCCCATAAAGAGGTTACCGATTTCACGTGGGCACAAATGAAACGTGTGGTTCTACTTTTCCATAATTTACGTAGAAAAAACTAGTCATTCCTTTACACAAATGTGAGGAAGAACACAAATCTGTAGGAGGAACCGGAGTTTACTTATGAAAAGTTACGTTTACTAGTATAACAAAACACCGCCGCGAAGTTGAAATGATTACAGCTAGCGTGTCGACTTTGGAGGCATTAGTTTTGGTTTTAAACACAAGGGCTAAAGAGTCACGCTTTGGTCCGGCTCTAAATTACCTTGCGTTGGAGAGAGGAGGAATGAACACAAAGGAACTTTTCGTAATATACTGGTGATCTTCAGGCGATGTACAATATTCTCTATATGCAAGATCGCACAGGTACGAGACCTAATTGATACACTGCCGATAACGACAAAAATTAGACAGCAAGTGATACGGGTACGAGCCGCACCGAGATGCCAACAACCAGTCGGCTACTATGGGTAAGTTGAGTAATCTAGTAACGCAACCATAATAGATTTATTTATAATACTGTTCAAAAATCCACAGGACATAATGCTTGCGACCCGCACATATGATGCAAAGCTCGTGAGGTGTAAAAACCATTCCCGCAGATTTATCACAGCAAATGACCAATTATCTAGTAACTTTGCTAAAAGTGGGCGCTCAATGGACTTGTGTCTATTTTTTTGTAACGTGATGTATTATAACACGTAGCAACGTTCATGTACTAATGAACATGATGAGCGATCAAAGTCAGAAACTAACTTTATTAAGTCGGTTGGACGCATGTGTACCGCTGTGCAATGACCAGCAACGCGTTTACCTTGGTGGGCATTGGTCACGCTCACCGAAGAAACGTTTCCTGCCGATGTAATTCAGTTGCGTATTGATGAAGAACTGCAGAATTTCAAAGCAAAAAGGCCACTGATCATCGTAACGAGAGTCAATAAATTAATCCTCTGAGGTCAGATTTAAAGTTAGAATGGAGAAATTCATTACTAACTCTGACGCCATTCTCAATAATGAACTTCCTGCTGCTGTTACAGCTATTGTTAAAGAACTGACGAGTTCTAAAGTAAAAAAGCCAGTAACTCATAGCAGACACAGATGTTAATCTAGAGTTATTCAGCAGTAACTCTGTCGCTGTTCCTAATAATGAATGTCCAGCTGTAATTAAAAGAGATTATACACTAATCTTGTAAAATTAAAATACTGTTGTCTCCCATTTGGGTTCTATGTTCGCTCAATAACTATAAACTACTAGACGACATCAATTAAATTGCTTGACAAACGCGATAACTACGTACGTCATGTACGTGTACTAATTATCTAGCTCATTGTAAATATTAATGGTGCACGTTGAAGATTTGTTTTTAGAGACGAGCTACGATGTTTAAGTTTTTGAAGTTGGCATGGCTTAAAAACATTGGTTGGAATTATCGAACGGGCTGATTTTGAATTAGTTTACGTCTAGGCAAGTGTCTATGTAAATTGGGCGACGAGAACGCATTAAGTAGATGTAACTTAAGTTATCTCCTCAACTAGTGCTTCCTTTAATTGCGCTAGTTATTGCTCATAAATACAGCTTATAATGACCATTGCGAATGTTCATTTTATATATTGATCACACAAGCGAATTCTTGATTTTCTTGAATGCGATATCTTGACGCTGATCTCATATAAATTCATCTCATACAATATTATTCGTCAAACGTTCGTAAACGTGAACATTAACACGTGAATAACGGTAACATTAAGAGCGAAGCAAACGCTAAACGCTTTTTGCTGTACCACAGGTCATTTACCTTTGGTAACGTGTGAGTGAACGTCAGCAATATATGTACGTAAACGATGCACGTACATCAAAAATGACTGCTTCACGGCTGTAAGCATGCTACGTTTTCAACGACCCGGTTAACCTCAGCATGGCTGTGAGAAAGATCAACTCGAGGATACTTGAATAGCTCCTATATCAAATGCTTTACTTGCACTGATTCAATGCAACCGTTCTTGCCGAGCAGAGTCATAATATAGTAGTTATGTATTTCAGGACATTATTTAACGTATTGAACAGCATTTCATTGATAGGAAAGCGGTCGTATTAGCTCTGATCAATGTTAAAACACGGTCATTGTGCAATAATATATCTAAAAATTTCTAACCGAGTAAATCAAGTTATCATCCATTTATGTTTTGTTAATTATTGCACGTGTCGCAATTCATTGAATGCAATAAGGTATAATGACGTTTCAAGACAAAAGACTGAAAAATATGAATTATTCTGAAAAATTAACGACATATATGAATGAACCGCCTGACTGCTGCATGCAAATACGCCTGCAACATCTGACATGTCAATAAGACTGTCATTAAGCTCAAATATCATCGCGAAATTACTCACGATACTAAATTACAAGGTAAAGCATAATACAAATCATACAGTCGAAATATGGCATATTTGATCAAAGTCAATTTGACGATGGTTTTTGATCGATGATTCACAAAATTACTGTTACATGGTGAATGCAATTGCGTGGATGATGATTGCATGAACGATTACGGGGGTGACGAGCTGTTGGATGAAAATCGATGCTTCGGCAGAGCATTCGTGCTTACGCGACTCGAGGACATCCAATTATTGACATTAATTAATAACCTGCGTGCGTTGACTGATGCAAAGCAATGTCTTGGGAGGAGGCTCATTGCTGGGTATGAGGGTGACAAAATGAGATTGAGTTAAAATCACGACTCAGGACTCAGTAGCAATCGTTTTCAAATAGTGACAAGCCTAAATTTAAATCAAATTAACTGAAAAACTTCCTAGTAAGAGGTAATATACTCTACCATAAAATAAATGTTCTACGAGACGTCTCGTCAGACATTCATACAACGATTTGCGTCCCAGACTATTCCTTGCGTGATATGATAAAAACAATTGGCCCTTGTATATGGACCATAATAGTCGTGAGAATATCCAATAAAAGGTTTGAATTAAAACTTTTCTCTTTCGAACTACAGCAAGCGAACACTTAATTGTGTGAACTATTGTGAATGTTGCATTAACACTTCGCAAAAATATTTTTGCAACTTTTGCTTGCCAAAGCAATCTAACATCTGATAATGCGACAGAATTTTATAACGATTTCATTTAGAGCTTAAATGAGCTTTCAACAATCAGTAGCACATGCATTTATATTTTGGCATCGTTTTCATCTGATACAGTCTTAGAGGGTACTTTCCCTCCATTCCTTGCTTCCACACCTTCAGTCCAAAGTCTTTCACTCGTATATTTATTTCTCTTTTCCACTCTTTTTCATCCCACTCTATCCCAACCGCACCCCGTACTTTCACCACCCATGCGTCCTTTGGCCTATAGCAGGTTCATATGGCGCACCCATGCTTCATGTATACCATACTTACGTACCAATGCACGACATCTACGTGCCCATTTGCTCACCTTTATTTTCAACATATACATCTTTCGTGCCCAACGTTCATCATTTCTTCGCTCCAGTCTCACTTTATACCTCAAAACTGATCTCATTCGTTTCTCTTTAAATGTACTCCATCCAATGTCTCCTCTCAGGGCTTCCACCGCAGTCCACGTGGGGGCTCCTAGTGCCAATCTCGCCACTCTATTCTGTACCAATCCCAATTTATCTAGCTCACCATCACTATATGCTATCACATCCAATCTATTCATAATACTAGGACCTGCCACGCTCTTCTACACTTCCCTCAATACTTCACACTTACTCGCTCCCTCTTTTGCTGCACTTCCAAGTATACCCAACCTTTGGTTCGCCTTACTTAAATTCACGGCCTTTGTTCTCTGACATCTCTCCTGGTAAACACACATCCCTAAGTACTTTACGTATTTGTCCTAAAAATCTCATTCCCTCCCAACATCCACACTCTGCATATGGCTCAGGTGAGGCAGGGTGGCCCAGTGGTTACAGTTCAGAGTACAAAGATTGGCGCAGAGAGGTGCGGGTTCGATCCCAGCTCTGTGCGCCAGTTTCTGGTCAGAATCGGCAAGGAGGCCGGGCGGTTTAGCACTGCAGAACACTGCAGAATTGTAGCAGTGAGTTGCGAGGTCGAGACCGCAAAATACTGTCAATGTTCTGCGATGTTAAGAATCGGCGACGGGCCTACGGCCCAATAAACGCTGAAGCCGCTATTTTTATATTATTATGTCCGCAACCAATTCCATCACAACAAGTAATTGGCTCATCTCCGCACTGAATCGCACATTGGAATCACTCCCATACTCAGTCACAAAGTTCAGCATACTTTAGTTCTTCGCTATTTTCACTCATAATCGCAGCATCATCAGCATACAGAAGCATTTTTAACCTTGCGCCGCCCACACGCACACCATTCCATCCATCCATTCTCTCCAACCTCGTAGCCATCTCTTCTGAGTAAAGGTTGAAGAGAAGCGGAGACAGAACACATCCTTGTTGTACGCCTCTACTGCTCCTCACCCAGTCCGTCTCTACATCTCCGAGTCTATGTTTTGCTCTAGTATTCACATGCTGTACATACTTCTCACAATATAAGAACTTATATTATCAGTCTGCTTATATCGCAAGTTCACAAGGAATTCAAAAGCAAAGAAAACGCCAAGAAAATTCACCATATCGATATTGAAAACGTTTCGGAGTCCAGCTCCATCATCAGTTCAACTAAACTAAAAATGAATAAAATCATTTTATAAGTCAAAATCCAAAGACAGACATAAAACCTAAACAAAACCTAACATTATATCGAAATAAACAGTACTAGATTGGAACAACTTATTACTAGGGGTACGACAAGAACATAAAAGCCTAGCGATTCACGATATCCAGATTATATGAACTAAACGCATTATTGAGACACGGATTTCGTTTGAAGATATATAGAGACTCCAATATTCTCAAATCCGAGCAGCCAGAAGTGGAACCGTATATCCTGAAATCACTCTCAGATACAGCCACGTCGCTCTGTTCAGCATGGAGACGCACGGAAGAATGAGGAGGCTTGGCGAGAGGCAAGTTAGAACGATAGGCCTGCCACGGTGTTCAGAAACCCAGATGTAGAAGTTACGCGACGTCATTCCAACGTATGCAGATGCACAGCGTGCACAACTAAACTCATAGACCAGGTTTGATCGCATCCGAGCAGGAATAGCGTCCATATACCTGAAGAAAGAACGAATTTCGATATTATTTACCAGCAAAACATGCATATTTATATTCGGGAAATATTTCAAACACAATATCTTTAGTTCTCTGGACATAATTTCAGACGCACCATCAAAATCGGGCAATGCGCAATAAATAATTTTCTTACTATCGCATTCAGTCACAATTTCGGAAAATTTGTTAGATAAGAAGCGTTTGATTTTACTAAACACAAAGCACGATGGAAAACTATTATGCTGCAATATATTACGAATGAAATCGAATTCCAAATGCATATCATGGAAGGTAGAACATACCCTATAGCCGTAGTATATCAATGTTTGAAGACTATTCAATTTTAAACGAAACGAGCAGAAGCTAAAGAAGGTCAAACCCAAGCCGGTAAATGTCATTTTTCGATATACGGGAGTCTGAAAACGACCGCCCGATTTTGTGATTTTGCAATCGAGAAACGATAAGCAATTGTTGGATTCGAATTCCATGGTGAATATTATTGAATTCATTTTTAGTTAAGTCGAACTGATAATGGAGCTGGACTCCGAAACGTTTTCAATATCGATATGGTGAATTTATTTTCTAGGAGTTTTCTTTGCTTTTAAATTCCTTGTACTGCTCACAAGCCACACACATTTTTCACTCATTCCAATTTTTCCCAGTGTTTGACACGAAAATTCTCGATCCACCCGGTCATACGCTTTTTCTATGTCTAGAAAAGCCGAACACAGTTTTTCCATCTCTTTTCATTCTCCCAATCAGTTCATTCACAACAAATATATGATCATCTGCTTTTCTGTCACATCTAAAGCTATTTTCTCTTCACCGAGCAATCCTCGTATGTTAGGGCCCGGCCCACGGGCGGAGATCCAGTATCGTCGTATTAGAGTGTAGTTGTCCCGCTCTCGTGATTCGAGAATAGACATGCAATGAGAATGTTTTGGTCACATGATGCTGTGTTAACACATTAGCATTTCTTGCTGATCGGTGTTTTGCTTACGCTAATTTTCTTGATTGAATCAAGTCAGACTTGATCGAACATACAGTATGTTCTTTACCGATTTGAATATCATTAATTAAGAGAAGTACTCTAATCCTTGATAAAGTTGTAAACTTTACTTAAACTTCGTGCAATCAAATAGGTATACTACAAAATGATTACTTCTAATAAACGATGTAAGTTCCATAGACTACCTACGTGAAAAATCAATTAAACTCGTTGCATTGTAAAATCGAAAAAAGTCTATTGTGACTCATTCAAATGCAACAGTATAATTTATTAAAGAACCAATTGTAACAATTCATCAACATTGCATTATTGTAACAGTAATTTTACTTTACAATATAGAACTGTACAATTCGTTTTTCTTTACAATAGTTCGATATTGTTAATTATTATACTGCCAATTGTGTATGACAATTTACCATGTGAATGTTCGAATCTGTACTAAAAAGTACGGAGTTTTTACAAGCATCCAACAACATCAGCTGTCCTGTGTATCAAGCGACTGGTACTCCTGAGCCCTAATGGCGAGAGCTTTGCGACACACTCGAATTGGTGCAAATGGATCATTCTTTGTAACGTTTGAGTTGCACAGAACTTACTTACATGATCTCGATCGCAGAATGTACGGTAAGTCATGCTCGAGAACACGTCCTCGAGTGTGGTTTGGCCCAAAAGGTAATTGTAACATTGGTTACATGCCTCTAGCAACGCTATAGTGACACTTATGGGAATCTGTTAGGTCAATGATCAACGTTCCTAAACGTTTCACAAATTTGAAATATACATGGAGTAAAAAGGGGTCTCTAGCACCGATGGTAAGAGAATAATCGTGTGTCATGCTCGTTACCTGGGATTTAGCATTTGTGTTTGCCTCAGCGACGTCAGTCACACTGTAGTAGCCAAAAGTTACTCATTCCGACTTCTTCTAATTTAATGGAATATACCACTGATCCTGTATCCCTTCTGTCAAGTTATCAACGTAAGTTGAGAAAATCACGACATTGTTGTGCCGACACGGGAGCATTTGTTTCCAAAGGGGAAGGGGACGACTTCGCTAAAAGGATCTATAAAGAGGAGAATTAATAATAAGGATATGTACTTACGATCCATGTGCGCGTCACGAATATTTCATCCTCATAACTCAACTGTACTAGTAGAAATATTGTTTCTCTAGAACTCAGAATCGGATACTGAATCCGACTAAAAGTTTCATTTGTATGTACTGTACTAATCTTTTTCTCTTTCAGCACAACAAATAATTTACGCAACAATGTTCCTCGAATTATTTTTGATCATCTAACGGTACGAAAAATTCAATGATCTATATGCATGATATATAATTACAATTTTGTATTTTATATTATATCTTAATTGAATTTCATATATATCTTATTTAGTACTAAGGTTCACCTTGTAAACCGTCCTGATGTTATTAATTGAAACTTTTAATGGCTGAATTAGCCTAAAATCATAACGTAACGTAACGTAACATTTAAAAAGTTCAATATTTTTCGTAAATTATCCGCCTCAGGTTAAATTGATTTAGGATTGGGTTATTAACTTTGTTACTAATATTAGAATTCTAATATCTTTCTTCTGCCGAGTGAACCAACGAAAGCCATAAAAAGAAAGAAGTATGAGAAGAGGCAGCACAGCGCCGAACTTTTGACGATAGAATTAAGTTCATAAATTTGCTTCAATGCTTGTTGGCACATATTAGTGAATATAATTCCTCTAATTTAGTCGCTCATGTTTAACGTAACGTTATGTCTTGCTCATAAATTGAAACTAATGACTTATAAATCATCATTGATGTTGATAACAAATTCGTTGATACCCTACGTAATAGATCTTGCTACTAACTATGTAGTAAAGCGAGGACGCTTTATCTTCTAAGGGGGGACGTGTCAGAGCATCATCACCCATGACGTCATTAGTCTCTCTTACGTCACCTTCTGTGATGTCACTGTGGTGGGTCTCGCTCTTTATAAGCTCTTCAAGCTGACCACAAGTCAGTCATAAGCAAAGCTTCGTAGCTGTAGTTAGTGTAGTCCGTTCGCAGCTTTCATCAGACGCGTGCACTGCGTCTATCCTATCGACTCCGGCACTCGCTACCAACTCGCAGTGTCGTAAACTCCGCCTTCTTAACTACTAGTATAAAACCTCATCGTATGATCTTATCCTGTAATCCTACCTATTAATAATTACTACTGAGGAAGTGCCCGTCTCATCATTTATTCCTGCGATATTGGTTATTTGGATAATTAATAGAAACCCAGACCTCCGGGAAAGAATACTATGTTAATTAGCGATGCAATTTAATTACTATACCAAGCTAAACATCAGGTTGTCACTGAACTACGTAAGGAAGCAAAGCGATAGGTTACTTATCAATCACAAACTCAATTCTGTGTTTACACTTTTACGATAAAACAAGAGCACCAAGCCTTGGCTAGCATCAACAACCAAGAAATTTCCTGATCCTTCGGAGCATAACTATATGCTGGGCAGGCTGCGTTATTCATCCAGATCAGTGTGACAGACCGAGCAGTTTGCCTCAGACTGTCACATCCCATGGAGTGAAGGTCCCAGGCACCGGCGCAGGGATCTGAGGAGCAGACAAGGCATAGCTGTGAGACAATGTACAGCTTTAGACTACGTATGAAAAAAAAATACTTGCATGCAGGCTCTGAGATTGTGTATGTATATGAGAGTATGCTACTTTTAGGCAATCATAAAATTGTTTTTTTTAGGAAATCAGTACCCATCACAATGATTTGATTAAGAGACCAAGCTTCAAAAAACTATGTTAATCAATCCGGTTCGATACAAATTTTTAAAGATTGAAATTTTTTGGATGTGTTAGCGACAGTTCTTCATAACCGTAAGTTTACTGCTGGAATGCTTTCGTTCTCATAATAAACAAGTTCTTGATGATAGTAAGTTTTACATTTGTGAGTGTTGAGTACAGTTCTTCATAACAGTACGCTTGATCTTCGTGGAAATTGTGATCTGTTTGTTCGCACAAGCTTGAGTATCTTTTAAACAACGGTTTGTTGTTTGTAGAATTACGGACGCGTCGTTTTTTAAAAGCAACCAAATATTTTAAATGAGGATTTGGGGAACAACTGAAATTGTAAAATAATAATTGTAAATGATAAATAAAAGAAATAAGTGAATGCAAATTCTATTGACGGTGGTCCTACGAAAGTGAGCTCAACTCACTGTGATTGTCATTATGAAATGATGTACAGGGTAAGTATCAGGAAAAATCTTGCGATTATTAACATTATGTTGCAGAAGGAAAATATGAGTTTCAATCTGTGGGTAACTGACGAGGCTGGTGATGCGGTCGTTGCAAGCCATGCGGATGCGCTCAGCCGTAGCCGGAGAGTCCAGGCGGAAGAGGCGAGCTGAGGACCCCACAGTTTTCGTCTGTCGAGGCTCGCCTGCTGTTACAATTGCCGCCTCTTCGTCACCGTAGTGCTGGAAGCGTTCGTCTTCACGTGCTGCGGCCACGGCGTCTTTGATGGCAAAGAAAATCGAAGACGCAAGGAACAGCGGTGGCTCGCCGATGGCCTGAAAAAAATCAACATTTGAATGATTGAGATGGTCTTGAGGTTTTAGACACAGATTTTTAGATTTGAGTGAAGATTTGAACTTTGTGTGATAAGTGAGGACCAGGGTGATGAGTGATAAGTGGTTGACGAGTGAAGGTGACTGGGTGACGAATAATGGTGACAAGATGATTAGCAGTGATGTCAGCAATGACTATGAGAAATGCGATAATTACTGGGTTATGATAAGTAGTGATTAAATTCGAGAGTTTAAGACTTTCTCGCCTAAAGGAATGAAAACAAAACTTGAGCCACTGAAATACGGGTGAATCTTTTTTGGTTGCCGGTATTTTCATTTTGTTGCAAGCATTGTAGGCGGAGCAGACTAGAAGGGTGTAAATGGTTAGGTAGTGGTGCGACTTTGCACCTAAGAGGCCCGGTCTATTTACTCAGAATTTGTCGAGTCTGTTATTACAGATACCGCTGGCGAACTTCGGCGGAATCTTACCTGCATAAAGGGAACTGAAGGCGTGGACATACCTTGGAGGAGTACACAGCTTTGGGGTTTCCAGCTTCCCTTAGCAGTGTCACGTTCATCTCGCACGGGATGTCTTGTACGCCTGACGATCGAACATAAAAACATAATTAGTCCCGGATGAAATATAAAAAGATTATTTAATAACTAATTATACATATGTATTTGTTGAGTTAATACAGTCTTTTGGGCTCAGTCTCAAAGTTAAGCAAGAAAAATCTAGTAAAATTAATAATACGCAAGACGACACGAAGGACCGAAATTTTGGTGTAATGGATATTAGGGGAAGCAGAGAGACAATGATAAGCGTAGGTTTAACTTAGGAAACAGCTAGACAATCAAGGTTCAGTTACGTTGAGAGAGCCATAAAATACGGAGAAGTGCAATGTACCAGGAAGTTTATAGGCCCCTGGCCCAGTAGTGAGGAGGGCCCCTCTGGGTGAGAATCGCAGTTCCTCAAGGGTAAAGAGGCCCTGTCCTTGCACGAGGGCCCCTTCGATCTGACCGATATCCACCGCAGGATTAAGCGACTTCCCCACATCCATCACGATGTCAGTTCGCAGCACCTGGGGCGAGCTCCCATTAAAACGACGCATTTGTCATCAAAATCCTTTAAGGAAATAATAATCTTCAAGAGAGCATGGCTGTACAAGGGTCGCCCAGTGGTTCATGTGTTAATTATCATCATGAAAACTCGAGGTGCACTGAAATTTCAAGAACAAAAAGAATCTATCGTACCGTGTGGTCTCCTGTGAGGCAGTCGATTTCCACTTCAGAGACTGCGGCACCGAAGCTGAAGTAGCTGAACGGCGTCCCTTCCTGCGTGTCGAAGTTGAAGCCACTCACCCCAGGAGTGCTGGGGGCAAAGAAACTAATTAAAAACATGGTATCCTATGCTTGGTTTTTCTCGGAATATCGTGCTCAAGCGGAATTATTTCATAAATTTTGATCGGTAAAATGTACGGTTTATAAAGCTTTTAACATGTATTCTTAATTTTTTTTGCTCAGAAGATAATCTTTCATTAAATCAGAAGATTTTTTACATTCAAGTATTACAGAAAATCATATTATATTACGAGAAAGAGACTCAAACATATAACGTGGCATTAAAACGATCTTGCCAGTAGGTAGCACGAGCGCGAGGCTGCAAGTAATTTCTTTACGGGCGAAAAGTCCTACCCTCTTGCGGCCTTTGTGTCACTCACGCATAGAAACCAGTAGCGGACAGCTGGACGCGGTCGAGGTAAGCAGCCATGATCCAGCTGTCCCAGCCGGCGTCTGGGTTCTTCTGGCGGTACGGGGCCAAACGGTTCCACAGCTCAGTGCACGCTCGCTGCACGTCAAGAAGCACAATTTCAACTTTGAACAGTCTGAAATAAAATTGATGACAAATAATCATAAGAAAATATATTTTTTAATAAAAGGTATCGAGACATTTTACCACAGAAATTTTCGTATCACTATAACAGAAATTTAGACGTGGGTGATTACGACATTGGTCTGAGTTCCGATGGGGATTGTGGGCCTTTGCGTTATTCAACGGCCCGAACGCTCGTTGGTCGTGTCAAGAATATATATTAAGATTGAAATCGTCCTTCCCTAGATTAGTTTGAGCCGAGGAGTTTATGCAAAGACAAAACAACCGCATTTAGAGTTAGGAGTGGCAGTTTTGCCGGCATCACGAAACTAACGATAACCCTTACACCGCTGTTTATGGTGCTTGTGGAGTGTAGATGCATGATAATTACAGTTTAATGTGACATGTTAACCGGTGTTGATGCCTAACTACCACTTACCAAGACGGCCTCCCCGTTGAGGTTTTCTTGTGACATGTTAACCGTTGTTGATGCCTAACTACCACTTACCAAGACGGCTTCCCCGTTGAGGTCAGAAGAGGCTGAGGCGGCGGTGGGAGAGATGCCTAACTACCACTTACCAAGACGGCCTTCCCGTTGAGGTTTTCTTGTGACATGTTAACCGGTGTTGATGCCTAACTACCACTTACCATGACGGCCTCACCGTTGAGGTTTTCTTGTAACACGTTAGCCGTTATTGATGCCCAACTACCACTTAACAAGACGGCCTCCCCGTTGAGGTTTTCTGGTGACATGTTAACCGGTGTTGATGCCTAACTACAACTTACCAAGACGCCCTCCCCTTGAGGTTTTCTTGTAACACGTTAGCCGTTACTGATGCCCAACTACCACTTACCAAGACGCCCTCCCCTTTAGGTTTTCTTGTAACACGTTAGCCGTTATTGATGCCCAACTACCACTTACCAAGACGGCCTCCCCGTTGAGGTCAGAAGAGGCTGAGGCGGCGGTGGGAGAGGCGTTGGGGACCTTATCGGTGGCGGTGTCCGCGATGTGAATCTTGGCGGCCGGGATGCGAAGCGCTCGCGATGCCACCTCATCAAATTACGAGTCACATTCATAAATTTGATTAGAAAAAAATTGCATTACCAACCCCGGGCAAAAGGAAGGGCAGACTTTACACAATTCAGCTACACAGACTTTTCCATTCAGCTTCATAAAAAAAATAATTGGAAGAATGATTGCTTAAAAATTTTAAGCAGTGAATATAAATCGTTTTTGAACCGGAAATTCCTTTATTTGTCGGTAAATAGTAAAATTGTAATAAAGAAACAAAACGATATTTGGTTTAGGGAATATGCTCTGTTGTGAAACGAGATGAAATAAACTATTCAAAGGAACTAGTTCAAACAATCCTGTGATTGCTAGAAACCATCTCTTGTTTGGCCGTATCAATACAACACAGACCGCGTCACCATGAACTATTGAAGTCATAGGAGATAAATTTATTTAAATTAACACGTACGGTAATACGATATCGAATCTACGCAAGCTGCCTTTAGTACAAAGCAACATGCGCAGACAAATATACAAGTTAGGTGCACATTCAATCTGTTGAGCTATTTTCAATTAAAAAAAGTTAATCAGGAACATAAATAAATTCACTGAATACTCAGTGTATAGGTCCATAAATCTCTTCATTGCTCATGGATCGATTTGGGTGATACCGAAAATAAGGAATTGTTCCTGTTTATAAAATTTTCATATTTATTTGCTGGGATCAGCTAGCAGAGAACTTTTAAATGGCCAAACTGTTTTTGGGTAGTGAATGTGAATGCCGTACGTTTTCATTGTTATTACACTAGCCATTTACCAGGGTTGCCAGATGGAGCCAAGAGAAAAAGGTCAATTTGACTCACAAAAAAGGCCCAAAAAGGCCCCATTTGGAATTAATAGAAATTTTTTAAATTTAAGGTAGAGAGTTTGGGCTCAGTTTTGCTATTTTGCTAACAAAATAGATAGTTAAATGGTAGGCGAAATAAGTGATGTGTGGCGGGGAGCGCAGCCGTGCACTACCAATTTTGTGCACCAATAAGCCCTGAATCGAACGCCTTGGATATCTCCCGACATCCACCAATCAGCCGTGAACCACTCGGCTTTGTCTTCCTTCGGCCTCGCATAGAACCTGCCGTGCACCACCAGGCCGCGGATGGCGAAGTTTTTGACATGTTGGCATTGACGGTAGAATATTTATACTCGGAAGATGAAAAAATTTAAACTCATTTCTGCGGTATAGAGATGATGTGGTATATATAGCAAGACTAATATAAATATTAAGGCAATCCTATAAATTTATCACAACTTTTGAATGCGCAGAAAAATAATATATTGCCTATCATTACTTGCATAGGAAATAAAGTTTATTTGTTCAAAGTGATATCTTGAAGTGACTCACGGTTACACCAGAAGGCTGAATATATCGAGAAGCTGTGCTGTAACCTCAAAAAATAGTGCTAAATGTACTGCTCTTTAGTAGTGAAAACTATACTCGATTATACGCTCTGTCAGCTCTGCCGTCCATGGTTCTTAATTAATACGAGTCGGCAATTGGATATAGTCCCATGGTTCAACCAAAGTGTTACCCAGATTAGGCGGCACTCGCTAGTGTTGCCACCTAAACCGAAGTGTTGACACAGTTTCGTGTCAAAATTTGAGTGTACTCGTCTTCGGCAAAACTGAATTTGGATGCACTCGTCTTGGGTAAAATTGAAGGACCAAATTATCATAAAATGCCGAGTGTTACATTTTGAATAAAAAAGGCCCAAAACGGACAAAAAGGCCAAATGAAATTTTTCAGGCCAATGCATTTAAAAAAAAGGCCACATTTGCGAAATTTGGCCTGAAAAAGGCCCATCTGGCAACACTGCCATTTACCATCAATTAATAATAGTGCACATAGAAACATTAAAACCAATTGTCTTATACATAGTTAAAACATGTCGCTAAAGTTTTTAATTTGGGAAGAATTATACACCAACTTGAATCATTTTGGTGTGCAGCCCTTGGCCCATCTCTGTACCCCCGTGGGTGAGTAGAACTGAGCCGTCCTTGTAAACCATCACGAGAGCCCCAGCCTGGTTGAGGGCCAAGGGAATGAAAGCGATTCCGTACTTGACGGGCACAACGGCGAGGCCTCGCTTCTTGTGAACGTGGGTTCTGGGGAACAAAAAACAAGCCTGTGTCCCCTCATTAATTCCACAACACCTTCATCGGAACTGATAGTATTCGGAATTTTCACTCCACATGCAAGCAATCTCGTTAGAAACTAGTTTTTGGTGAGAAATGTGTACATATAGCAATGAGACAGATAGACTGCGGGATAAACATCACGACGGAGTGCTGCATATTAGACAAAGGGTTGCTCTAGACCTCGACTGTGGCATCGAACATACTACCGCTATCTGTTACCGAAGCCCGGGTATAAAACACTCGAATGGTTAAGCATACCAGGACTGCGGCATAAAAAAACATTCACACTTTAACATACCGCGGCTGGGGCTTGAAATTACGGTGGTTATCTGAAATCAAAACTTCGGGATATAACTCATGGTTATTTGACACAATGACTGTGACATCAAATTTGAACAAGACTCGGCGCTCATCGGGGAAATTTCTGAAATTATGAGGCGAATCTCATGAATGACTTCGACTACCTGAACTTTATGACCACTTTCCAAACGCTGCATGGAAAATCAAACATAAGGTGCAAATGAGATTCCAATTGTAACTTACAAACTTCGGGGATTCATTTCAAATTCATCACAGCAGGTTCGGGTAATCAAATATGTTCACTTTGACACGCGAATGAAACGGCTGCTAAAATGATGAATAAATATAATAAATAAAAACAGATGCGTCTAAAAGCGATGGCGTATAAAAAAATTAAGTCGAAAGTTGAGGTCTTGAATTGCAGAAAATTGCAGAAATAACTATTTGTATAAACTTGATAATGCTCCTTAAATCTAGAGAATGAGTGCATGTGAAAAGATAAATGTGAGTGAAAGATATACATAAAGTTGAAGGCAGCTACGAATAAAACGAAAAAAATTAATGTAGAAATTCTCACGAAATATTTTAATCCTAGAATAATTTTCAGGGAAGGGTCTACAGCTGCACGTGTACCTGTTGAACTGCTGCGCCTCCTCCCTCCTGCGCGCGTACTGCGCCTGCAGCTGCACGTGTACCTGTTGAACTGCTGCGCTTCCTCCCTCCTGCGCGCGTACTGCGCCTGCAGCTGCACGTGTACCTGTTGAACTGCTGCGCCTCCTCCTCCTGCGCGCGTACTGCGCCTGCAGCTGCACGTGTACCTGTTGAACTGCTGCGCTTCCTCCCTCCTGCGCGCGTACTGTGCCTGCAGCTGCACGTCGCGCCAGCAACGCGCCACAGTGCAGTTCTCAATCAGCTGGCGGAAGTGCGTGCGGTCGCCATCTTTGTACAGGTTGCGCTCCCGTACCTGAATTTGAAATTTATATCACGCATTACGATGGAGGCGAATTAAATGAAGACTGATGCTTCAGGTTCAGCTCATTATTATTAATTGGTTTGTTTCTTTAATATTTTTTTTGCATTCATTTTCTTGTCATTCCAATAATTCGACTGGAACCCATTATAGTGCCACTTGGTCGCACCGAATGATGTCTTGACAATTATTTCTCCCAACCCTTCACAAACCACGGATTCTTCCACACTTTTCCACGATATTCATAAACAAATTATCAATTAAACGTTTAAGAGATCATTAATTATGCCAGGAGGTAGTATTTGGGTCGCAACCTAATAATTCTATATATTTTACTCGATCCACCTTTGCTCGCAGGGATCAGAGACTTAGGTGACAGATAAATAAAGACGCCCTAAATGTTAGGCTAATTTTGATACGGGGAGGTAGTGTAGCGGGATAACTACGCTCCATACACAAAGTTACTGGGCTCTGCAAGCGGGCCCTAACGTACGAGAATGAATCAAAATCTGAATCAGCAAATTTTCAAAGGCCACAAGATATATTTAAGTTTCATGGCGGACCCGCATCCACGACATTGGACTATCACTAAATGCACATAGGTTTATAAATACAGACATTATATGGACATTATATACAGATATTTACAGTCATTAAAAAGTGTGGTAAGTCAGGCAAAGGTAGGCTGCCTGCTAGCAATCCGCCGCTTCCCGAGAAAACTACCTACGAATACTTTTTCTCTTCAGTCTTTGTTATGAGGTGCGGCGGCTGAAGAAAACTAATAGCGAGGCCAAGGCTGGCCCGCTGCAGTAGGTAACCAAGTAATTACTGATCGAGGTAAGGGATACGGCCAACACCTGCTGCCCCTAGCCTACGCAATCCCACTACTGTAGACCAGCTGCCAACTGTCTCTTTGTTAACGTGCCCAGTCAAGTTTCTCAGTTCACTAAAAAAACGTTACCGAATTATCATTCGAAATACCTACCATCATTCACAATAAATACTGATGTGAGCCACCTGTTGAAGATTTGAACAAAAAGATCTTGTGAGACTTTAATATTGCAATGCATACAGAGAATTATCTCAAGTTTTATGGAGTAATAAGCAACTGGAAATTGATTTATGAATAATAATTCACCAGTTCCTCCGGCAAGCACAGGTAGGCGGCCACGGCAACCATGATATCCTCCCTGACCAGCATGGCCTGGGGGGCGCCGAAGCCCCTGAAGGCGGTGTTCGAAGGCAGGTTTGTGAGGCACACGTACCCGGTGACCCGCGTGTTGGGACAGCTGCGGTGAACCAAGTGTGCTTCTGTAGCGTTTATTACTCGCAACAATCCAAGTTCATTGAGTTTGAAGCCATTTTTATTAATAGTCAAGAAAACAAATCAATTATTTGATGTCAGTGCGCTTCGATGGCAGCGGTCTAAACGTGCACCGTATTGATCAATACTCAAAAGGTAACACTTTCTAAAATTGACACGTGCTGCACCTGCAACACGGACAGGAGGTACATGAGGAGGCACATTCAAACACCAGTTGATGCCACTCATTTCCACCACCGCCACTCGCACCAGGATTTTCGCTCCTATTACCAGTAGGCAAAGACAATCATACCTGTTGGTGACGCCAATAATACAAGACGGCGCCACAAGCTAGTGAGCATCGCTTGTCCTAGCAGTAAGCGACACCCATGATATCAGTAAGCTTCAGCCCAGTGAGTATAAACGCAACAATGGACTCCACAAAGCAAAATCCTGAGTTTTGTCATGAGCGACTCACCCACCATCTTCTTCATCATCACCAACGTCACCTCACCATCATATTATTCTTCTTAAAAAATAAAAATAATAAGAAAGCGGTAAAAAAATTTCTCCCCTCATCACTCCCTTCGTGTAAATCATCCACAGCCCTAGAGAGTCCCCCCTCAAACTCTATTCACCTACACTACACCTACCCAGTTATGCGCTGTGCACATTTCTCATTTCCTACTGTCTTTTCTATTTCTCCCTCCTTCTGGCCACTTTGCACCACCTCTTGTTCTCTTCCAATCTTTACTATTTGAATCGCTCCACAACACCATGGACATCGTTCCTCCTACCAGTAAGCGTTGTCAGACGACAGCAACGCGCGCTCCATGACTGCGCGGGAGAGGTCCACGGAGCAGCCGGCGTTTGAGAAGAGGTCCGTTTCAACAGCCACCAGCACCCCAGACGAAGTGAAGCTCGCCTGCCACCTCCCAAGGAAGGGGTGACGAGCCCCCGTCAGCAGCATATCTTCCGCACGCTCCAGCACCACACGAACGGGGTGCTTCGTCCTGTTGAAAAAGCTCTGTAAGGAGAGTGGTGCTGGTAGGCTGTGAAGACAAGCGGTGTTAACCAATCGTTCAATGGCATCCTACGGATACTCTTCCCACAGCCAACCAATAGATTGGCCTTTTTGAAGTACTTTATGCATATAGAAGCAACACTATGTAGCTGGGTACCTCTGAAGGCACTCGATGAACAGGGCCCAAGCAGTTATTCAATAGCACAGATCATGATCCAAAACCTGAACAAACCCAACATTTCAACGTTTTCCACCCTGGCCGCAAGCCTTCCAATGTAATCACTGAACTCAACGACTTGTATTTTGGCCGCCGAGCTGGACCAAATGAATGTGAGTCAATTATAATATTCTTTTAACTGATAATAATAAGACAGTAATACAATTCCAATACTAAAACTTTTGATGAAACTCTTACACGCTTGCGGCGACTGCGACGGGCACTGACGCCACGACAGAGCGCGACTCCTTGCCGCCAAAACCTCCGCCAAGTCGCTTGGTCACGACCACCACTTTGTTGGCCGGTACCCCCAGCGCACGCGCCACCCGCGCCTGAGATGCGCCTGGGCACTGCGTCGAACTGCCCAGAAGGAAGCATCTCGGAGATCAAGTCCTAACGAGCGGACATAATAACATGGGACTGGTTTTGACAAATGGTTAGATCTTACCTTGTGACCTTATGATGAGTTCGGGACTTCCTAGTCCCCGGTCACGCTGATGCGCCGCCTTCGTCGTCCTCCGTCTCCGAGTCGGCGCTAGGCAGGTCACCCCGCCTTCGGGTCCCGGATGCAACGTTGGACGTATTCCGTATATTTGCACTCCTTTGGTCCAGCTGATGCAAGATGCTGTTGCTTGTCACTTACTGAGGGTAGTTTCCCATTACTGGGCAATCCGGGATCTTTCTCAACCAATTGTTCAGTATTCTCTTGAAAGTTGCAAGGGTGAACTCCCCTCCTCTCAGCTCAAACGCCTACAAACTCCTATATGCAGGTTAAAACTCGCTCGAAGTTAACTCGTATGAAAATTAGAAATTTTCACGCGTCGACTGATTTTATCAACTTCTGGATAATTGAAATGACACGTTTTTGGCAGGGCATTAAAGTGCCTCGTTCCTACAACGGACAGTGATCCCTCACGAAGAGTCTGTACTATGGCGCGGCTCTGTTAATAAATGGGGGAACCTTGCACAGTCTCCCTCTCCTTTCGTGGTAACGTATCACTATTCTGGAGATCTCACTCTCTAGGTTGGGAGCCAGTCCGGTTATCATCTCCCAAGTGTACAGTATGATATACCTCTCTCTTCTTTCCAGTGAGTACAGTCCAGATGTTTCAGCCTTTCCCAGTAGTTCAGGTTCAGCTCCTACATGCAGCTGATCCTGTACGTGAAGGTCCACTGCACTGCCTCTAATTTCCGCACTGCACTCGCCTTGAGTGGCGACCAAATTTGGCAGCAATACTCAAAATTGGGGAGCACGAGGGCACTGAAGAGTGTAATCGTTGGTGCTGCTTCTCTTGTTCGAAATGTCCGCCATATCCACCCCATCCGATGCCGGCTGCGCGTGACTATTTCCTGGATATGGGCATCAAACGTGACTTCAGTACTTATCAACACTCCGAGATCTCGAACTAGTTGCTTCTCCTCAATTTCTGTGCCATCTGATGCCAAGTAGCGATGTGGCATCCCTATCTCTGTGCGGACTCTTGGATCTCATTACTTCGAACTTGGTGCCATTGAACTGCATATTATTCACTAGGGCCCAATCGTAGATTGACGATAGGTCATCCTGTAACCTCTCGCAGTCTAGTTCATCTGTGATCTACACAGCACTCTTGTATCGTCCGCAAATGACGATGTAGATGCGTGGGTAAGTTCTGAGACAATACTGGCAAAATGAATGATGAAGAGGATCGGTCCAAGCACTGAGCCCTGCAGAACTCCGCTTTTCACCTTCGCTGCTCTCGATTTCGAGTTTCCAATTGCGACAGTTTGTACTCACCTCATGAGAGCACCATATGGTTAACTTTGTCAAATTTTTTAGCAAAGCCTAGGTATACCATGTCCACGCCAGCTTTCCCCTCCTGCTGGGCCACAAGACGGAGATGGTGCTCCAGTAACTGCGACAAACAGGAACAATTACGCCGGAAACCATGTTGTCCGTTATTGTACAGGTCAGCCTCTTCCATATACCGAACAAGCCTCCTGACCACTACCCTCTCAAAAACCTTGATCACATGTGAGGTCAAGGTCACAGGTCTGTAATTTTGGGGTCTGTCCCTCTGACCTCTTATGTGGATTAACGTTATCAGTCCTACTTTGAGACCCTCAGGGATAATTCCCTCCGTTATCGAGGCTTTCCAGAGCATTGTGAGCGGAGCCTTCAGTGCTCCAACACACTTCTTCAACAGCACTGCCGGAATTCCGTCGGATCCTGGCGCTGAAAACATCGCCAGTTCTTTGATACTTATTTCCATGTCTTCTGGTCCAAACTCAATGTTCTCCAACCCTCTACTGCCTGGCAGCTCCTGGAGAACTTCAATTTCACTCTCCTCCCTTGAGTAGCGGGGGATACTGAACACTGATTCAAACTGTGATCCTAGTAACTCACACATGCCAGGGTCATCTCCGACAATGACTTCGTTATCCTTAAGCGGGTCTACTGGCGTCTTTATTTTAGCCTTGGACTGAGCGTATTTAAAAAAATACTTGGGGTTCTCTTTGATGACCGCAACCACTCGCTCTTCCGCGGCTTGTTTTTCCATCCTGTGCGAATCCTGCAGCCTGAGTTCACTTTCCTTGTGCAAATCTACCAGCGCCTGTCTCCTCATATCACCAGTGGATTCAGCTTTTGTTTATTTAATCGCTTGCGTTTTCTCATGAGGATTCGTCGGTCTCTCGGAATGATGCGGACTTTAGGGCCTGTTTTTTTCGGGATATGATGCACACATACCTGTGCTAGTTTATCACACAGTTTTGTGTAGATTTCCTCAGCTTTCATCTCGTGGGACTCCACTCTCCAATCGATTTCGTTAATTTCATTCCAAATTGACACCCAATCCGTTCTTCGATTGTGGAAGTTAAGTCCTGCTAGTCCCTCTTGGGGTATAGACCTGGGCAGGTTTTCAATTCCAATTGTCGTTTTCACCATCACTAAGCGATGGTCAGGCAGTGAGGTTTCTTCAACCCGACCGTCAACCACCATTCTTTCATTATTAGTAAAGAAGAGATCGAGGATATTGTGTTCTATTGTCGGCGACCGTACCTACTGACAGAGCAAGTGACCCGCAGCAAACTTCACAGACTGCGCGTAGGATTCTCACGCATTTGTTATTTCAACATTGGTTCGTTAATAAGAGGCAAATAGTAGGAAAACAGGTAACGTAAATTCATTTTCGTTTCGTAGTCGCCAATAGATTGAATTGTACCTAAGCTGTTGATCGGAATGAAAAAATGCCTCGTTACTTATTAAATATTACGTTAGCGCAGTTGCAACTAGATAAACTATATTTCATATTTTCGCGAGAAACGAAAGTGAGTCTCAGGCAAAAACGGAAAATGTAATGGAAGTACAATCTTCCATCCCGTCCAATATCTCCAATTGATAGCCACATAAAATGACACAATGAAAAATTTGTACAAATGTTTCATTTTCAAAATCATTCAACTGAAGAATTTTCAATTCAAAGAAAGTTACTTCAATCGCTATTAAAAATTTAGTGTTTTAGCATTGGCGAGTTGAATACTTCAAAATAATAAAAAAAACAAAGACAGTAATGAATTGAATAAACAATGAGATCTCGCTATCACACTGGTCGAAATAACGGAGAAAAATCAGTCTTACATGCATTATAGTGGCGCCATCACATGAATGAAAACCGTTTCCATGTTTTATCTAAATTTTATACGGGATTCTTGTGCTGAGTTGGAAAAAGAACGCCGACAAGATATTTTATTGCCTGGGCCGACCGGCGAATGAATTATTGGTCAAACCTTTTTACGGCGTTTTTTCGAACAGTGCATAACTGCAACAATGAATAAAAATTATAAGATGATCGCTTCATTTTCTATTACCTGAACACTCGCATGGCTCCACACTCCTCCGGCACAGCGAGGTGAGCGTTGGACTCGAGGTAGAAGTGCTCCTGGCCCCCTAAGTGGATCTCCCCAGTGAGTGTGTGGTCTGCGGTGGCATGGGCCGCGTCGACGTTGCCACACGTGATGCTGAATGGCGGTAGCCACGTCTTGGCAGCGATTGCTTCCTGGGGGCAAGGCTGCCTTAAACTTCCATTCAGCAAAAGCAAGTGCAACTTTTTCCCCATACGCGTTGAAAAGACATTGGCATGAAAATAAATAATATTTTGAAGCGTATTATAGTCGCGGTTGAGCTGTGTGACAGTGCGGACGTGCGTGTTGCACGGGCTCAGAACTGACCTTTGCACTATGCCGGTCTAGTTCTATTTATGCTTTTTGTGCTGAAGCCTTTCAGTAAAAAGACTTAAGAGAAGTCAGTGGAAGAGAATGTGAATAGAGATTGGAAGTGACTAAAAAGTGTTTCCCTATTTCTTCTTATGACGAAACGAGAGTAAGCTTGTGAGAAAGGGCACAGTGCTGTACGCACAGTGCTCTACGCTCTGTCACCTATGTTCTGTCCCACCGTCTACCTATACCCTACCCCTTCCTCCTTCTACCCGCCTGTCGCGTCGAGCCCTTCATTCCCCCAGGGCACCCTGTCTTTCCCTCACCAGCTGCAGCTATTAACCTCGGCTGCTCCACCAGAGTCGAAATTTTAGAGGGCACTTTAACTATACTCAGGAAACTTTAACTATACTAAATTCAACTCAATTTTGAAGTTTGTCTCCGTCCTTTTCTCCGTTCATGAGCTCTACTTCGTGCATTTTATAATGGCTGGATAAAAAATAAAAAGTTAGTCGAGAAGCCCTCTGCGACCTCTAGGTCCTCTGGAAAAAAAATAAAACAAAATCAGCTTAGCTAGAGATGAAAGTTTGCAACTACTGCAAAAAGATCTCTCTGAGCAAAGTTGTTCAGACGGTCATCTGTGAACGTGGCGAAGATCTCATTTTTATCAGCAGTTTGAAGTTGAGCTCTAAGGAGTGTTCACTTCTCCATACAACTAAATTACTTCATTGGTTTTGCCGTGACGGAGAAAAACTAATTCTTGGTGCTCGAAAAAGTGAGGAGTCGTGGGAGAGCACGGCAATGAGTCGAAATCATTGAATGATGTAGTAAACAAAACTCCTTGAGTGAGATGGTGCGCTCGCTGGGGTGATAAATTGAGCTCGCTATGCATTGAGCTGACTGAAGTGAAAGCTTAGATGAAAAATACAGAAAAAATGTAAGTAAAGAACGAGATAGCTGATTTATCTGAAGCCATTAGCGAAAATTCCCGTGAATTACTTGATAGAGAACGTAAGAAATCCAACCTTGTGTGGTTTGTTATTCACGAAAGTACCGCATCTGATACGCAGGACCGAATGATGGCTGACACTGCATTTATCGCAGACTGTTGTAGCAAAGCACTGAGCACACCGGTTGATATTACATCGTATAAGAGGCTACGCTCGAATGATGCTGCTGCCAACACTTGCAGACCTCTGTTGCTGACTGTAAAGGATCCTGCTCAGGTCTGAAGCGCGCTGAAGGCAGCTGATCAGCTTGGAGAATCAGCTGAGTACAAGTTCGTTTCTATAAAGAACGATTCCATCGTTGTAGAGATGGTGATTTTTCGCGAGAAATGGCAAGAGAAAATCAGACGAAAAAGCACGGAAAATCACGTCAATCACTTCCAAGCTGTTAAGACAACACCGGCCGCTCACGGTCAGTCAGAGGAGCAGAACGACAAGTTATTAGTAGGAATGATGTCCGTAGATCCATGCCTGTAAATGATTTAGGAAGTAACCGCATACATCAAAGTGAGAGTGCACAAAAAGTTTTAAAATGTTCTCCGTTTGAACAAAAAAGTGAACTGTTAACTGTGATCGCAAACAAGTGTATAGACACTATTGATATTACAGAAACACTCTCTAAAAATCACGGGGAAAATTGTACCTGTTAAATTTCAGTTGCCAAGCTTTTATTGTTTTCATAACTTAAATGAGGAGCAGTGCAGTAGATTTGTAGCTCTGTGAGTTTGAATTCTTTTGGGGCCCAGCAAGTTCAGTTATCTGCAGAGCATCATTCAGCCAGAGAATCAGTGTGGTGCGAACTTTCTCTGCGTCTAGTAGCTATTAGAAACTACCGTCAGTTTGGAAAAGATCCGGTCGAAGGACGTTTTTTATATCTCCTTTGGACAAGTCACGAAAAGTACAAGAATCGGCGAAAGGCTACATCAGGCGTATTCTTCAGCGCCGAAATCACTATGTTATGTTATAGTGAGCCGTACAAAGAAAATACGCACAAAAAACAGAACTCAATATATAACTAGTGAAATACTCTGATATGGTAAACGTATTCATACTAATGAATTGCAATATAATTTCGAGAAAAGCCATGAAAATATAATGAGGAGATAGACAGGAGCTGCAACGATGTCAAACAAAGTTCAATTAGGGAAATTAAAACATAAATAAAAATGTCGTATGAAAATATTGTTCAAATTCAAACAAGCAACTGAGTAGAAGTTGAGTTGTCGATAGATGAGACAAATTATTTTACTCCAGACACTTACAAAAAAAAAGGAATCAAGTTGTTCTTTGCAGCAGAAAACACGAGCAACCATCTTTTCTGAGTTTACGAATATCACGAAGAAATAATTTGATTAAAAATCGTATTATGTAAAAATATGCAGAGGATGGTTTGCAAGGCCCAAATTTATTTTATAATTTCAAAATCTCCGAGCTCGTAGAGAATAGGGTATGTAATGCAGTGACACAACTCAGCCACAGATTAATGAAGACAGCATCAATCAAACTTCTAAACTCCAATCTATTGTTACGCATCCGTTGTAGCAATTCCATTTTAGAACATTTAATGTAACAAAATTCATGTAACTCACCTAATGCAAGAAATAAATTGCAATACATCTAATGTTACTTAATTATTGTACCCCATTTATTGTAACCAATCTATTGGCTCTACTATCACAAATCTTTAGTAACGCATTAATTGTGACACATCTTGCGAAGAATAATATACAGCATATATACAGCACGAAGAATAATATACATCGCATCCCCGTTGCGAAAAATAATATGCAGCAGTCCCGAGGGATAGCAGCACGATTTCCGAACTCAGCAGGCGAGATGGTCGTGGCATGATCAATGATTTTCGTGCAATGATCCGTGCTGAACATGATATACGTTGCGTTAATCGTAACGGACACTCTGATGATATATAGATGATGGATAACTAACAACACCATATAGGTTGCGTTAAACATAAAATACGCTGTGATGAACATGATGTAGGTTACGTTAAACATAAAGTACGCTGAGATGAACATGATGTTGGTTGCGTTAAACATAAAGTACGCTGAGATGAACATGATGTAGGTTACGTTAAACATAAAGTACGCTGAGATGAACATGATGTTGGTTGCGTTAAACATAAAGTACGCTGAGATGAACATGACATGTAGGTTGCGCTAAACATAAAGTACGCTGCGATGAACATGACATGTAGCTTGCATTGAACATAAGTTAAATTGTTATTAATACGATGTACTGTTACTCTGTTACTCTGCACTCCCACACTCCGTACCTGCAGCGTGATGACAGACCACAATATCACAATGTTACTCTGCACTAACAGACCACAATATTACTCTGCACTAACAGACCACAATGTTACTCTGCACTAACAGACTACAATGTTACTCTGCACTAACAGACCACAATGTTACTCTGCACTAACAGATCACAATGTTACTCTGCACTAACAGACCACAATATTACTCTGCACTAACAGACCACAATGTTACTCTGCACTAACAGACCACAATATCACTCTGCACTAACAGACCACAATGTTACTCTTCACTACCAGACCACAATATCGCTCTGCACTAACAGACCACAATGTTACTCTGCACTAACAGATCACAATGTTACTCTTCACCAACAGACCACAATGTTACTTTGCACTAACAGCTCACAATGTTACACTGCACTCTCACACTCCGTACCTGCAGCGTGATGACAGACCACAATATCACAATGTTACTCTGCACTAACAGACCACAATGTTACTCTGCACTACCAGACCACAATATCGCTCTGCACTAACAGACCACAATGTTACTATGCACTAACATACCACAATGTTACAATGCACCAACACGCTCCGTACCTGCAGCGTGATGACAGGCGGCTCTGTCACTCTACACTCCCACACTCCGTACCTGCAGCGTGATGACAGGCGGCTCTGTCACTCTACACTCCCACACTCCGTACCTGCAGCGTGATGACATGCGGCTCTGTCAGTCTACACTCCCACACTCCGTACCTGCAGCGTGATGACAGGCGGCTCTGTCACTCTGTACTGGACAGTAACGAGTCTGGCGGCTCGTCTGGCAGTGAGCTCGTCCTCTGCCACCACCAGACCGATGGGTTGCCCGATGAACTTGACAGACTTGCTAGCGAAGACCTCTTCATCTTTCACGATCTCGCCGCACACGTTGCGTTCGCCTGCGCCAGAATACTTGCTAAGTACATCGGTACAGTGGAACAGGGTACCAATTGCATCAGTATTGGATATATAATTAACTGCCTATCCTTGCATCAATTGCACCGTAACATAAATGAATTATATTTGCTAGAAAAAGATAGGCGGATGTATACTTTTTCTTTACTACATCGTCCAGAGTTGCAGGAATATATTTTTCCTTTCCCAATCATTCCAGAGAGAGGCTAATTAATTTTGCTAATAAAATAATGGATAATTTTTTACCTCTGCTGGGTGTGGGAGGGTTAACCTCGAAATTTTTTTGTGAGGACATATTTTTAACTACCATTTTCATTACATAGACCGATAAAAACGAAAGCATATTCGCACGCATGCGCATCAATTTTTCGTGCGTCCAAGTTTTCAGTGAAAACCATGAGACACAGCGGATACTATGACTATATCTGCCTAGCACCTCATACCCCACAATACGACTGCTGCTCTTCTGATAGTGACGAGTCTCACTGGCCAAATGTTTTTAGCGATATTTCAAGCAGCTTTGGACTCCCCGTTACTTGCTCCCCCAATTTACAGCAGTAAGTGCCACTTTTTCTCACCCGGTACGTCTTTGGCGGACACGAAGGCGTGGACGCCGGCCACCGCAAGTGCCGCAGAGGCGTCGACTGAAACGATGTCGGCTCGAGCCTCGGTGGACAGGACGAAGGCACCGAAAAGCTCGTTGACGTAAGGCGGTAGGTCGTCCACGTAGGTCGCCTCCCCAGTTACCTGCTGCAGGGCAGCAGGTTGATCCGTATTGAAACTTATGAGGCAAGTGATGGGAAAGCCCCTATCTTTGCAGTCATAATAGCCTACAAAATCTGTCCGAAAGAATACTCTTCACAGATTTTCAATACAAAAGAATGCCTGGCAGAGTAAGCATGAAGCACTTACCCTGACACTATCCCTTCTAAACTTACTAAACTACTCTCCACTGTAGCCGCTCTACTGTTGGCAGGGTAATCGAAATAGCTTATTTCCCTTATCGAATCCCTTAATAACCCTATTTACCATTCTTATTGCATTATTTTATCTCCCTCAATTACCTCACACAAATTGCCACAACTACAACAACTTCTGAGCACAGTTATGCAGCCGACCTGCTCGTAGAGATGAGTTGCCCTGTGAGGAGGCCGCTTGTTGGACCCCAGCAGCTCCTGATGGTGCGGTGCCAGGGGTGCCACACTCGGCATGGTCTTGCTCAGCTCGTGGCGTACGTGCAGGTAGAACTTGAAGAAGAAACTGGAATAAAGTTCAAGTGGTAATTTGACGACGAAGATGAACTCAGGGCACAGAGATCGTGTTCCTAATAGTTTTACGGGGGGGGTGGGATTTGAGATCCCAATGTATCGGATTGTAGTCCAATTTTCAGATAATGAGAAATCTGGGAGAAAACGAGACCGAAATTCAAAAGAATCGGGAGACGCTTCACAATATTTATGTCGATAAATTTACTTCAAATAAATAAGTTTATTACCTGGGCACAAGTGCAGCTCTATAAGCCGTCATGCCCCCAGGGGCACTGGGCGCTATCTGCACCTCCTGCAGCAGGGATGACGTCACCTCCTGCAGCAGCTGCTCATCCCACCTACGGCCCTCCATCGCCTGCAGGAGAAAAGAGAATCAAACCACAAAAGGAATTAAAGTCTACGTGTGAATCCCACATGCACAGTACCCGCACAGCGGAGAGGAGTAAAAGTATGTGGTATTGAACTTATTGTTGAATTTTTTTTCCGGTAGTGAAATAATAAAGCAAAACATGGATGTGGAGTTTCTAACTTAATTACGTGCTACCAAGACCTAGGGCGGTACTGTGCCAGAAGCTGCAAGGCACGTGAAGTGTGATAGAGCAGAACCTGCCCGCTACCTGTCCAGTACGTCTCAGCCCAGTTCTTGCCAAGCACCCGCCCAACATCTGCTCAGCACCAGCCCAGTCAAGTTCAGTGGACTGGGACTTGGCCTGGACTGGGCCAGTCCAGTCTCTGTAAAGCCCCTGCGCAGTTCCTGTCCAGCACCTGCCCAGTACCTGCCCAGCATCTGTCCAATACCGGTCCAGTACCTGTCCAGTACCTGCCCCAGCACCTGCCCAGCACCTAACCCAGTACCTCCATGGTGCGTGTCGCCTGCAGCGTGGTCGCAGCGACGCCTCCAAAGGCTATGTTTGCGGTTGCCACGTGGTCGCCGCGCATGCGCACCAGCAGCGCCGCGTTCACGATGGCGATGTCATCATCGCGACGGCGTGATTGCTTGTAGCCGCGGAAATATTCTTCCTGAATGATTAGGAATATTCTATATTATACCAGAAAAAGTAAATTATTTCATTTCCTCACGCACATTAAATATCGTTATTAGCTGCGCGTTGGGCTTGATATTTTGATTAGATTATTTCATTGTCCATTTCATGTTATACGTGCATGAGCGTAAAAATTGGATTATTAGACGACCGATCTAATTGCCTAACGATATTGCATCTGCAATGTATGCTCAGCAATTTAGTACAGTGCGCAATTGGATTCTTAATCGAGAATGAAGAGTCTTGGCCAGTTTCTGGTGGCGAAGTTTATGCCAGCAATAAGGTAGTGCGGATGGTGACAATACAAGATAGTGTTGGTGGTGCCATTACCAAGGTAGTGAAGATCGTGCTAGTAGCAAGGTAGTGAAGGTGGTGCCATTACCAAGGTAGTGAAGATGGTGCTAGTACCAAGGTAGTGAAGGTGGTGCCATTACCAAGGTAGTGAAGATGGTGCCATTACCAAGGTAGTGAAGATGGTGCCATTACCAAAGTAGTGAGGGTGGTGCCATTACCAAGGTAGTTAAGATGGTGCTAGTACCTGTGTGGTGAAGGGGATGGTGACGGCCACCAAAACCTCGGTGCTGGAGACATCACACGTGCGATAGCCCGTAAAGAACGTCGCGTCCATCACCCGATCGCGCGCACCACCTGACGAGTCGGAGGTCATGATTTGTGGTGAAATGGAGACGTGATCACGTGCTCTTGCTTTAAAATTAAGTAAGTCTATTTGAATATTACTTGACTCATCAATGCTGATGTTCCTTGACGCGTCTTTCAACTCAGCGGGTTAATTGTCACTATTCCTTGCACTAGTCGGGTTCATCGTATGTTGAGTTTAACAGTCCAATGGTTCATCAATTATTTGTTTACCACTCGTTGGGTTCACCAGCTAGTCAACGGGTTCACCAATCATTGGTTTACCAGTCGTTGGGTCCACCAGTCTACGGGTTCATCAATCATTTGTTTAACAGTCATTGAGTTCACCAGTGGACGGGTTCATCAATCATTGGTTTACCACACGTTGGGTTCACCAGTCAGCGGAATCTGCGGTCGCCTGGTTTATTTAACGTCCAGTTTACAAGTAGTTGATCTATCAGTCATCAACTAACCAGTCATTGGTTTACACGTCATTGGGTTACAGCCAGCGAAAATCCAGTTCTCGGGTTGACCTGTTATCGGTTCACCAACTGTTGGCAAAATAATTATCATTCATCACAGTCTTGACAATTTCAAATTAAATGTCGTTCCTATAAATGTGGGACGGTAACTATTGAGCCGAAACTTGTCATCACCTGTCAGGCTGTCGAGATGCAGCACGGAGCGGGACGCCAGCAGGAGGGGGTTGAGGTCACTGATGGGAGAGCTCGTCATGATGTTGCCCCCGAGACTCTACGGAATAAAATATGCCTGCATTGAAGAAATAAATCTTAAAACAACTTTTTCGCAACAATATACATGTATGATTTGACACATATTTCGCCCACATGAGGCGGAGATCTGGCTAGCTGGCTCATGTACGACAAAAGAAATGATGCTGAATCTTGACAGTTGGATATAGCAATTAGGTTTAATGCTGCAGCCATGCAAGCTTTGATGGAAAGGACATGAAGCTGAAATTATTCAATTCAATATAAATTAAAAACATGATTTTGATAATAGTCCACCGAATTTCTTCTTTTGTGAACATATAGGTCATATAGAATACATTTTATGTGCAAGATAAACATATCTGAGGATTTTTAAATGGGTCTTTGAGCATTTATCAAGCTTTTGCAAGATTTCAAAATATTCCTTAAGGGGAGCGTCTAGGTCCAAAGGTCGAAATTTTGGCTTCTCCGGTTTTTAGGCTCATCTTAAAGCTTACTTTCTGACGCATCGAACGGTGCTAGAACCATCTCTGTACGTTGATTTATGCATTCGCATCAGATCCCGTAAGGGGGGGAGGTGTCCGGGCCCCTTCGATCAGTAAAGTTAAGGCGGAAATTACCCGGCCGGGCACCATAAAGGGGATCGTCTGATGTAAAGCGGCCAATTATGACATTCTCCAGTTCTTATACTCATCTTAAAGCTTACTTTCTGCCGCATCGAACGGTACTAGAACCATCTCTGTACGTTGATTTATGCGTTCACGACAGATCCCGTAAGGGTAAAGGAGGTGGGGGGCCTTCAGTAATTCCAAAGGGGGAAATTAACTATAAAATGTGCTCTTCACTCGGCTAGAGCTCAGTAACCTCATAGACAGCAAGCGGGATGGTGTTCATTTAGTTGCTCCATGTACCGATGACTGACTTTGAAGTGAGTTGATGCTTACTTTTGGTATCTAGGCTACGTTACGCGCCTTTACGTGCCGCGCGGCGGTTTTTTGCCTCTACTGAAAAGTTGCCAAAGGTGAAAACCTCTCTCACGGCAATCCTATCTCCTCCTATAGTTTTGAAGCTACAGCAATGAGACATATACCATTCTATTTGGAAAAGAAAGATCTACAAACGTCACTCACTTGGTTGTTTTTCTAATTTCGTTATAGTTCGGATTTTATTTTGCAAAAAGTGGTGGAGGGCGGGGGTAAAATTGAAAAATATCGGAGAAAATGCTCCCACACCCACAAAAATGAGAAATCAAAAAAACCGCAAAGTGACGTTTTTAGATATGGTCTTTACGCATCGAATGATGTGTGTCTCGATTTTGTAGCTTGATAATCCTAGGAGGAGATAGGATTTCTAAAGTACCCCCTTTTTGGCCGTTTTATACGAATTTCACGTTTTCTTTCATTTTTTCGAAAAATTCACACGGGTAAAAAAGTCTTAGAATTCCGTTTTACATACGTGTACCAAATTTCGAATAGATCCGTCTGTAAATAACCGAGATAAAGTTGTCCATAGACGCTCCCCTTAATTAGTCTAAGTCAAAATTTTCAATACAAATTTAGATTTTCAGAGATATCCGAGAGAAACTATATATATATAGGATCGCATGCATGGCTTCCCCCATTTTCTAAACAAGTAAGAGGGCCAATTTGGTGCGGCAACTTATTCAAGCCAGGCTTATCTCAATTGTAATTCTTTCTATTATGCGGTCTGACATAAGAAAATCATAGTCATATGAACGCGAATTTTAGCTCGTGTGTCCTGGAAATAGTGTGTCATTCGAATAATGTACCAACAAATAGTAGCTTGGGATTAAATCAATAAAATCAGCTCGAAATATAGTATGACGCGCAATATATGTCAATTACGACGCATTAAATGAAATGTAGCGGCTGATTAACGTATTTTTTTACCTGAAAAAATCTACTAATTTCATCTGAAATAATTCTCAATATTTAGTTATGTATTATAACATGTGCTTAGTGACTCTAATGATCGTTTTAACTGTCGACGGCGATCATAACAGCGCTCAACTCGTAATCTCAAGCATGAAAAATGTGCGAATTGCAATCGTCAGAAAACAATGGGAGTGTTGTCGGCAGTTCATTGCTGGTATATTAATATTTATCTGCATTTTCCTCCAGTTGTATTATAAACAATAATAACCACAAGACATTATCAGTAGAGTGATAATATAACCAAGATAATGAAAGACTCACGGCCACGTTCCTGATCTGCTTGCCGGCGAACCACTTGAGCATTTCCAAGATGGCCGCCAGTACGCCAGTCTTGTACGCTGCACCAAATATGCGGTAAATAAGTACGCCATATTCTATAGATTTCATATATAATTAAATGAGAAATATTATTCTAAAACGAGCGTCTCATTTGGTCAAATTTCTAAAGCAAAACAAATTTAAGAAATTTCAATTGCTTCAATTAATATCGTATCACATCAAACTAGTTAATATATTGACATATTCTTACAAATAGCATGTTATTAGTATATTATAATGATACTAATGTTAATATATTGATCGATTATATCAGTTAAATACGCTGACAACCACCTGGCATGGAGCTGACGATCTCCACCAGCTTTCGCTCCATCTGCGTTAGCGTGACAGCTGCTCCAATACGCACTCCCACATCACGAACCTCTACCTGCTCCATCTGGGGCACTCCAGACACGCGCACCAGCGCTTTGTACAGCTGGTGCTTCATGCGCACCTCCACTCCTTTGAGAGATGCGCATATACAGCAATGAATATACGGGTGTTATAGGGTATAATTGGCCATGGGCCTATTTCTTCAATGGCGACACTTCTATTCTATTCTATTCTATAATTTCCACAAACTATGCCATATTCCCTTTCATGATCCGATTGATATGTGGATATACAGGCAAAAAATCATAATATGCAGAATTTACCTACTTTTGCGCAGAAAAACTTGAGTCAAAATTTTGAGAAATTTAGCATGAATCGGGAAAAAAGCCAACTTTGAAATATGCCGAATTATTTGTACTCTCAGTAGAAAATAATTTGTACAGAATATAGGTCACAATACTTAGGAGGCACCCGAATGAACGAAAAAAACTGAATGATTTAGATGCAATTAATGGTGTTCATGTGATTTCTGTTAATGTCAATTAAATGGTGTTCATGATAAGTTTCTGTTTTCCAGAAAACTCTTACAACGTGAAAAATCCTTGTATGCATTTCTCTTGGTACGCAAAGGAATAAAAAAGCGGTATACGCACCTACTTCAGTGTTGCCCCAAAGCGGTATACGCACCTACTTCACACATCTAGATGTGTATAAGAGACAGCCTATATACTTCAGTGTTGCCCCAAAGCGGTATACGCACCTACTTCAGTGTTGCCCCAAAGCGGTATACGCACCTACTTCAGCGTTGCCCCAAAGCGGTATACGCACCTACTTCAGTGTTGCCCCCAAGCGGTATACGCACCTACTTCAGTGTTGCCCCCAATGATCTTGAGGTCAGGGTGCTGGTGCTTGAGGGCGAGCAGCTCCCCCAGGCTGCACACCTGCCAGAAGCTCACCCGTGGCCCTCGGAACTCCAGAGACGAGTTGACGTAGCCAGCCTCCAGCTGGAGGGTGATGAATCAGTGAATATCAACGGGAATTCACTGAATATCAAGGGAATTCACCGGGCGGTAGGCAAGGCAAATTTGAAGCCGTGAGTTGCGTGTTCGAGACCACAATTAACAAGCTGTAAATGTTCTTGTGATGTTCAGAATCGGCAACAGGTCTAACGGCCCGACTATAAACACGACACCATTAAATATTATTTTAAAACCAGCATGATACATACATAATATAAATTACAGAATAAAACTGTACGAAAGATTTCGGTGTAATGTTGTCAACCTCAGCCTGTTACTAGTGTCAACATGTTAGCTGTTACTTGTTAAGTTGGTACCAGTTAACACTTACAGGTATTTTTCCATGTTTCAGTTTGCTTACAGTCATTTTTACACAGTTATTTTTATGTTTCACCTTCCCTACATGGATGTCTACTTTAATCTACCAATCTCAAAAATAATCCACAAATATATACAAATAAAAGACTGATTTTTATATGTATTTGTGGATAATTTTTGAGATTGGTAGATTAAAGTAGACATCCATGTAGGGAAGGTAAAACATAAAAATAACTGTAACTTTTATTTAATGTATTTAACCCGTACTAGTTCAGTTAGGTTAATTGCAATAAAGTTGCATTGATATGTTTTGAAAATGTTTTATTATCATTAAATGTTTATGAGTAAATCCCAATAGCACAACAATAAATATTTAGAGACTTCCAATAATTTTGGCCATTGTAGCGGCTAATGTAGCCGCGCTACATTTTACTGTAGCGGTAGCGGTAGCGCCCGCTACATTTAGAGCATGTAGCGGTAGCGGTAGCGCCGCTACATTTCCAAGTAGTGCTGCCCAGCTCTGTTAACTACTTGTATAAAACCTCATCGTACCTTATCCTGTAATCCTATCTATTAATAATTACTACTAAGGAAGTGTAAGGCGTCAATGTTAATACCATTCGTCCCTGAATATTTCCTCATTGATGTCTTCCTTATGGAAAGATAATCTCTATCACTGCAATATCTTAATAAACATTTCTTTGCGTTAGACTTTCCTGTGTATCAAGTCACGCCCTTAAAGGCGTCAAATGGCGAAGCTCTATTAACTCTGCCCCGATCTGGAAACCTCAGCCTTGGGCGAGGACCGCTGTCGGTATACCCCTGCTCCTGTCCATATCAAACAGGACAGTTTTGCCACTCAACGTCAGGGTAGAGAACACTCGGATATACTCAAGATTTCTCCTTGCTACAACTGGACGCCGAAGACATCAGTGTTAAAACTCCAAGCAGTAACCCTATTTCATCCTAAAATGTAAGCAGAACTTCAATCCTAAATAATACTGGACAATTGTTTACTCTTTTCCTCCATATCCTCGGATCACGCTACAACCGCCTCAGGTCTTTCTTAATTACCATTCATGTAAGATATGCACAGAAAAGCAACCTCACACAGCGGCGCCAGCGAACAAATAGCAAGTGATTATTGAGTGACGTAGATCAGTGACCACACAGAATGACAGAATGCTGTGTGGGGGAAGATTTCCGAAAATTTGAGCTCTCCAGCATTTACTGCTTCTACAATTTGAGCATCGGACTCCGACACTATCTACGAGACGAATTCATCGAAGAAAACGACTATGGCTTCAGCAACTACAGACCCAGCATATACATTAGCAGAGCTAAATAATAAATTGCACGGGATATATTAATTTTTAATCTTCAGAGCGCAACGTTTGCAGGGCATCAACCGCAAGCAATAAGCGACCTTAAGACGCTCCCTCCACGTAGTTTGGTTACGAGAGGCGTCTGAAAAGATGGGGAGGCGCGAAGAGACGTTCTACCGCCAGTAGCATCGACCTTCCGCCACAAGAGAGCGAGAGCAGCAAACCCAAGTGACACGACATCCATGCCACATGCAGGAGGCCGCGCATCTATCTACGNGGGTGCGGGTGAATGGACCGGAGTCCAATCACCCTAAGGGCTGCTGCCAGCCTCTCCAAACCGGCTCGCCACCGTCCGGCAGGCACCGATGAGGGTCCCCGAGGGTCCCTCGCCTTGAAAGTTATTAAAGAGTGGTACGGTTGGGCTAGTCCCATCTTCCTCTATTGTGAGCGAGGGGGTGTTGGGCATCTCTCCTTGCGGCTTGATCCCACATTGCCCCGCCCCCTGGTGGATCCTTTGCCGCTTCAGGGGCCAACAGCTGCTGGCCACTAGCGAGTCCCCCTTGCGCCTCAGGAGGCGAACCATCGAGCAAGGACCATCATCACCGTCACCACCATCATCATCATCACCATCACCACCACCACCAGGCACCCACCAACAAGGGCTTCCTCGAGCTGGGCGAGGGAGGGCGGCGTAGGCTGGGAGCGCAGCAGCGCGTACGCCGACATCACAAACCCCGGCGTGCAGAAGCCGCACTGCGAGGCGCGTACGACGTCAATTAGACGCGGGGATTATTGAGTAATTGACAGAAAAACACTCGATTTCTATTTACCAGATTCCGGATAAAGGTTAATCAGTGTAATTAGTGAATGCAAGCTTTTTACTTGTGTGCTTGTGTAAGATAACACAAACGGTACGCAGAAACCAAAAGGGTGCATTTTCTATTCAATTAATTAGACGGCCGAATTAAGGTCACGGTTAATAGCGCACTAATTTTATGCCTTACCCGCTGTGGGCATCGCTCTGGTGCCGCTCACCGCCGCTGCAGGCGAGACGGCCATAACGGAGCGTCGACTCAACGCCAATGTGAGAGCCAAATAACGGCGCTCAAGTGGTCTTTCCGACACTACCATTGCATAGAAGTGACATCAACACGAATGTAGGTTAGTCGTAAATAATGCCGGCCTCATTTATAAACTGGGCTGTGAAAGATGCAGACTAACCTGAGAGCCGTGCGCCTTAGCCAGCCTCTCCTGCACGGGGTGTAGCCTTGACGTGGCGCCTCCCAGCGCCTCAACGGTCGTAACAGCGGCGCCATGTAGTGTCACCACGGGCGTCAGACAGGCGTTGACAGAGAGGTGCCTGATGATAGACGGGCGTCAGACAGGCGTTGACAGAGAGGTGCCTGATGATAGAGTAATCGACAAGCGTTCACTGAGTTCAGTCACCAGCCTCCATCATATCGCACTTACTGTTACCACCACCGCCGCAACGCAAACAATCGCATAACTCGTTGGTTCCATCAAATAAAATGATCATTTTATATTCAATTTTTCGTGGAAAGAAAAGAGGCACAATTGTTTGGTCATTATCTGATGCCTGGAGATCATGACAGTGCAGTCCCCCTAGTCCCCTCACCTGACTTGGTCCCCCTCCAGTCTGGAGATCATGACAGTGCAGTCCCCCCAGTCCCCTCACCTGACTTGGTCCCCCTCCAGCCTGGAGATCATGACAGTGCAGGCCCCACATCCCCCCTCCCCGCACCCCAGCTTGCTCCCCACGAGTCGTCCTTCACGTCCTCATTAAGGAACATTACAGCTGCATCCTATTAGTCGCAATTTATTTTTCATAAATTCATTGTCTACCATAAGATAGTGGAAATAAAAATTTTTATTTTGGTTCTGAAATCACACTTAATATAAGTGTGATTATTATATTAGGCTGCAGTGAAATCACTTTAATGTGGTGAAATCAGACTTATTATAAGTGATGAGAATGTGGTGAGGCGTATGAGCTCTAACAATCAAAACGACTGACAAGATAGTCACAGTATAGGTACGATAACTACATTCTAGAAGGTAGAGTACATTACTATCAGGTGCATTGCGTTACTATCAGGTGCACAACATTACTATAAGGTTCACTAAATGTACAATCAATTCCAATGCATTTCTATCATGCGCACTGCATTACTATACAATGCACTATCAAGTGCAAAGATTTACTATCAAGTGCATTGCATTACTATTAAGTGCACCGCATTTCTATCAGGTGCATAGTTTTACTATCAAGTGCATTGCATTACTATTAAGTGCACCGCAATTCTATCAGGTGCATTGTTTTACTATCAGGCGCAGTAAATCAAATTAATATCTAGTGCACTGCATTACCATCCGTTGCTGCGCATCTGGAATGTTCAGCGCAGTGCGCTTAGCTTAATTAAAAACATATTGCAATATTTTGAGACAAAACATATTGCGATATAGCTTTGATCTGTGACAATGATCCTTAATGGGCATTATTGGAGCTCTTATATAAAAATAAAGGATACGTTTGGTGCGCAGATACCACAACAAATTCCATTCTGGATCCGGACTGTGCTCTTCCACCTGAAAAATCCAGCGGTTCAAGTTATTTTGAATATTGTTCACTAAAGTTTGCATAGTGGTGTGATCTGGGTTAACAACATCAATTAAACTCCTTCATTGAAATTTGGCACCAGTGATATAGAAGGTGGATTCTTAATAGAAAGCCATGGCAGCAATCATGTCATAAAAATCAATTAATTTTCATCTAGAATTCATGGAGACGATAATGAACCTTCAAACCATAAAAACTTTCCAACTTTCATGGAGCTAATAATCGTTATGATAAGCGAACATTTATTTCTAATTTCTCACCTTATTCCCGTTTATGAAGAAAATCAAAGACATTTTTGCCTGAATTTTGTTGGTGTTGACCTGCCAGAAGATGTAGCTGTCGCAAACCAGAGAATTTAAATTCTATCTTCCTCACGCTGTGTATCTTGGATTATTCAAAATGTAAACATTTAGAAATACGTTGTACTAATCACAGAGAAATTTATTGAGTGTATTATTCAGACAACATTTCAAACACGATGCATTATTCAGACAAGCGTTAAGAATACAAAACATTATTCAGGGCATCAATGAACGCTGTTTTATTCAAACCACTATTAAAATTGCAATGCATAGACTTTGAAAAGTCGCGACTCGTTTACTCTATTCGTAGCGTCTGCTAAAAGGCAAAATGAGTAGCGTATAGCGTACACAACTGAGTTAACCTATAATGAATAAAGTTCCAGGAATAAATTCCGTTGTTAGCCATCTCATATAATAGATCACTGATTACTGGCAATCAAATTCATGTGCGCACAGTCGACACGTAAAACTCTGCTGTTTTTTATCTGCTATGATGAATATTGGATGCACGACTATATAGAGGCCCCAGCCTTATCTGAATTGAGGCCCTGCCCCGAGGGCTGAAGCCGGTCGTCGGCGTATACACTCTAGTCGTAATGCTGGCCATGTGGCTTTGAGAGTTCTTTTTTAAATGCTGTTCTAAACTGCTTTTTAAATTCATATTACTTTATTTCAAATTTTGGTGTTTACTGACAAAACTATTACATTTAACTATAACCAGTTTCGAAGATTATATATTGCAAAAGACTCTGAACTAACCTGTTTGAACGATTCAAATATTGTACAGTTTTACTGGATGTCATTTTTTTCCTTGCTTCGCTACCTATATGCTTACAAGGCAAACTGACTATCTCGATATGCATTCACATCAATGCATTCCCCTATAAGGGGCAGGGTGGCCCAGTGGTGGCAGGGTGGCCCAGTGGCCGGGTGGCCAGTAGGGCCTCAGCATGCAAAAGCATAATTGGAGCAGTGAGTTGCGTGTTCTAGACCGTAACAAGCTGTGAATGTTCAGCGATGTTTCAAATCAGCGAAAGGCCTAGGCCTTATGAACACTGAAACCGCTGTACTAACTATTCTTTTCCATATTTCGTTTTCTCAGTAATGTCAAGTTTGCCAGCAAGCAGAAAAACAGAATTGAAGGATGAAACTAGCATCAATTTTTCTTTCCATCCATGCAAGGTTAACCTGTTGGGTAAACAAGCTACTCGATCTTTACGCAGAAGAAACCAAGCCACGTCAGTGCGCTCTGTCAGATGTTCAATGCCATACGCACCTCCAACAGGTTCCGCGTCGCCTTAGAACAATGAAACCAGGTTATCTTCAGGAACATTTTTTTGCTTGGTTGAAACGGTGTGATTATTATAAGTTCATATAAAAATTAACATTAAACTAAATTATAAACATCGGGTTCACATATGGGCGTCCGAACGAGAGCAATGCAACTGCGCAATTTATCTGCACGGATACTAAAAGCTGAGATGCAAGCAGAAAAAAGGTCGAAATCAACTACAAAAACATGTTTAACAAGTTAAATGCAACTGCGCAATTTATCTGCACGGATACTAAAAGCATATAGATGCAAGCGGAAAAAAAAGGTCAAAATCAGCTACAAAAACATGTTTAACGAGTTTGCTTGCAATGTATGCGATAAATGACGTGCTTTAAGATCAAGCGCGCTGCGCAGTGCAAGGTTGAACAGAAGGCACTCCTTGGTCTCTGTAAATATGGCCTACTCAACTGAAAAAAAAACTTTTTAATTTAAGAGAAGCGTCTCGGTCAAAAAACGGAAATTTTGGCTTTTCCGTTTTCTTTGCCCATTTTGTAGCTGCTGAAAAGGCGCGTCTAACGCAGCAAACCGCACGTATGTGTGCGCTCCAGTTTTTGCGTAAAACAATTTAAAACATGTATGAAATGAATATTTTTCATCTATATGTACGAAGATTTCTTTAGAATAGACCTGATTTATAGATCATTATTCATGTTAATTGCAAAGTGTTTGCGCCCGTTTACAAGCTACAAACAATGCGCGTTCAAAAAAGCAACTATCACAAATCAACAAATAAATTTTTGCGTTAGGCCGTTTTAAACTTATATAAAATGAAAGTTTTTGTAAAAATATATGTATAAAGGCACATTTGTAGCTTATTATTCACGTTAATCTGGACATTAGTTAGACTAAAGACGCGTGCTGGTACCCTGAATGCAGCTAATTGGCAATGTGAAAGCTTGGGCTGCAATATCAAGTATTTTTAAGCATATTCTTCTTTTTTCCAATACATTTTGCTTAGTTGGCTCCCTTGAACAATTAATTTAATTAAATTAATTAATTTCCGTAATGCGCCATCTTAAAAAATCTATTTCCTCCTATGATTTCAAAGCTACAGTATTGAGAAGATATACCATTCTATTCGTAAAAAAAATCTCTAGAACCGGACCATTCACTTTTTTCGGTTTCGTTATTGTATGGATTATATATCGAAAAAGAGGGGAAAGGGATCGAGGCGAAAATTGAAAATTTTTTGGAAAATCACCCCTCTCTCCCAAACAAATTAGAAATTGGAAAAAGTGAATGATCCAGTTCTAATATGGTCTTTACAAATACAATGATATGTCTCTCGATGTCGTAGCATGTTTACTGAATGAGGAGATTCAGAATTTTACAGTACTCCCTTTTTTTCGCCGTCACGCATTTCTGTCATGTTTACGGAAAAGTGACACGAACAAAAAATCTTAGATTTCTGTTTTACATATGTGTACCAATTAAGGTTCAAAATGATCCGTCCATAAATTAAAAAAGTTTTTTGCCCGAAACGCCCCTCTTAAAAAACTGACTGACTAACAATAAATGATCCCATCAACACTGAAAAATCACCTCAAATAGACGAAGGAACTTTAAAGCAGCTCTGTGAAAGGAGCTAGCTTCATGCCATGCATCTTGTTGGCCGCTGGGCTGCGAGCAATAATCCCAAGGAAAAAATGTGCTTAAAAGAATGATAGTAATTGGTATTGACCTACATGCTGTTAACGAGAAATTTTCTGCACATCATTACTTGATAGACACGCGGATGAATGTCATCTTTTTGGAAGTATATTAAAACAACGCTTTGAGATTATTTTACATATGCGAAAAAATGTATACTTTCAAACCAATAGCTAGCTAGCTATAGATCGTTGCCTCAAGTATAATTTTTTATTCATATTATATTAAACCCACTGAGTGGCTGAGCAAAGCCACAGAAGTTAAACATAAATTGCCTGCACTTGATGAAAAAACAGTTTATTCCGAGAGGAGTGGCCCCCAATCCGACCATACACCTTAACAAGCCAAGTCTAGAACCACACTGACACGTTAGACCCAGTGACCCACAGCGCTATACACTCTACACTCGTCCTACGCCTTTGCTGTGGTTAGATTATATAATTGTGCGCAGTAGTTGTGCCCATTACAACACGTACCCAGTGACACACAGCGCTATACACTCTACACTCGTCCTACGCCTTTGCTGTGGTTAGATTATATAATTGTGCGCAGTAGTTGTGCCCATAACAACACGTACCCAGTGACCCACAGCGCTATACACTCTACACTCGTCCTACGCCTTCGTTGTGGTTAGATTATATAATCGAGCGCATTAGTTGTGCCCACAGCATCACGTAATAACGTTACATTCTAGGCGATTAGCAGTGATTTTGGTGATAGTGAGGGAGAATAATATTATTTATTCAATGATATCAACAAACCAATCCTAGAATTTCGAAAGTCACTTGGAACTTGAAAATATAAATAGATTTAATTTAAAATTATCATTAGGCAAACTAAAGATGTTGTGCGAATTTATTGAACTTCATGTCACCGTCATGATACGGAGCAGACATATACTTTTCAACGCCATGAAATAGCTACGTCATCATTTATGTCAACGTCACGAAACAATGAAGACATGATACTTAGCACAGTCATGAAGTACAGACATCCTTTGTTACTTCACCATAAACCACAGACACACTTGCCACTATATTGTAAAATAATATCCAAGAGTCTGTCAAAATTTTTACACTAGTAGATTTTTCACAGACCTCGTAGATTTGTATCAGTAAATATCGCATAATCTTATGTGTTTCATACTTAATTAAATTGTTTACGAGTTCCTACCTTGATACGGATAGAAACATTCCCGGCAGGAATCTGACAATGAAATAGCGTCGATTAGGGGATGATATCAGGTTGCAAGGTTGATAAACCCAACTCAATATTAAATCGACGTTGAAATGTGACCATTACTCAGTTAAACATTAAATGAGACCTAAATTACACATTGAAAAGCATCAATTTTCGATCGTTGGGCATTGATTAAATTTTCGCAATCACTTCAATCCAACAAACTCGACTAATTTCAGGTTGGTTGGATTCGAACGTCGTATTTAAACGTCAAACTAACGTCTTCGCATCAACGTTGGATTATGACTGGATATCGTCTCAACGTGAAAAACACACCATCAGATTACTTACCAAATTTTTTTATTGTTAAATTTCCAACAGCATTTCTGCGTAATTTTCTGATTGCTGCATCAACGTTGAATCTTGACTGCAAGATTCGTCGTACATTTTTCGAAACCCAAACGTGTCAGAGCGTCATCACCCATGATGTCATTAGTCTCTCTTACGTCACCTTCGGTGATGTCTCCCTCTTTATAAGCTCTTCAAGCTGACCACCAGTCAGTCATAAGCAAAGCTTCGTAGCTGTCGTCCATTCGCAGCTTACATCAGACGCGTCATCATTTCCAAGTCTATCTATCCTATCGACTCCGGCACTCGCTACCAACTCGCAGTGTCGTAAACTCCACCTTCTTAACTACTTGAATAAAATTTCATCGCACCTTATCCTGTAATCCTATCTATTAATAATTACTACTATGGAAGTGTAAGGTGACAATGTTAATACCATTTGTCCATGAATATTTCCTCATTGATGTCTCCTTATTGAAAGATAATCTCTATCACTGCAATATCTTCATAAACATTTCTTTGAGTTAGCCTTCCCCGTGTAGCAAGTCACGCCCTTAAAGGCGTCAAATGGCAAAGCTCGATTAGCTCTGCCCAGACCCGGAAACCTCAGCCTTGGGCGAGGACCGCTGTCGGTATACCCCTGCTCCTGTCCATGTATCAAGCAGGACAGTAACCCAACTCTACGTCAGAGTAGAGAAAACTCTGATATACTCTAGACTTATCCATGCTACAACTGGACGCCGAAGACATCAGTGTTAAAATTCCAAACAATAACCTTTTTCATTCTAAAATGTAAGACAAACTTC